CCCCCCCCCCCCCCCCCCCACCCTCCCCCCCCCCCCCAAACGGCTAGAGATCAGTGGAACCCCCTCCGACCTGTAATCACATGTATGAAACCTAACCCTGAGCCTTTGGTCTTCAGCAAAGGTAGCGTTATTTGTCCATACCCCTTCCAGCCAATTTCCCTGTTGCTTGTACTAAGTCGATTCTATGTTTTAGCATTCGGTTGTAATGAGTTAGGTACTGCAATCCTGCAACGTAACAATTCAGCTGTCAGGAATCTCATATCGCAAGCTCCGTCCTTGATATTCGAACGGGACCTGAACGGCATGACCCCTTTTCACCACGCCGTGAGCTGGAGGGATGGCTTGTCCATTATCCTGGAACAAGTTCCAGTCGAGCAATTTGCTGAGGACTTGGCCTGGGATATTTTTGATTACGCTATACTTGTGTATAGAAAGAACCATTGGGAGATGTGCTTGGAGAATTGCCATTGCTCCGAATGCATCATGTTGTTCCTTGAACATTCCTGGTACTTCACTCCCTGTACAAGCCAGGGTCGACATCATGGTACCATTCGTTTGATACTGGACCATTTGTCACCGGCTGCCTAGAAGAAGCTTTTGTTGTATCTGAAGCAGGCTCGGCAGGAAATTGTCGCCCCAGTGGTAACGAAGAAATTTGACGACTTAGGAAGCCATCTGGATGTCATGAATCTTCCCAACGAGATGGTCCACATCGTCATCAAACACCTGCAGAAAACGGCAGAAACGTCTCATCCGTCTACGAGCCGTGGAAAAACCCAAGCCGCAGCTGATTCTTTCAACATTTACAGCGAGATAAAGAACGAAGAGATGGCAGATTGGGCCTGGCAGTTGGGATTCTATGAAGTGAACTATCACGGAGCTACAGACTTCCTACCTCTCGCTTGCAGCTACATTGATTTGAGCGGTACGACAGTCACCTTCTACACGGAATACTACGTCCTATGGTTGTTGGATCATGGCGCGGACCCGTTCCAACCACTCCACGACACTGACAATCCCAATCTTTCGACACTGGCGGTTCATAAAGCTATCCACTGCATTTCTCAACCTGATTGGGACTGGGATTACGATATTTTAGCTTGGGAGCCGAATAGACTGGGTTATGCGGCGCATGAGGTGGCTCGTCGGTTATGCAGTGAACCGACAACGGACAGTTGTCTATGTGCATGCTCTACAAACGGTTGCACGCCATTCCTCATCTTATTGAGGAACCTGGCTCCTGCATCATTTGACTCTCAGAGGGACACATCTCCACGGCCCAAGGACTATGCGAACGATTTTGCCGTTATTCGAAGAGTGTTATACCAAAACAGTGGCTTTGTATGTCAATATGAAGGCAATACCATGAGGCTTTACGCCTCTTCACGTCCACGGCTCTCGGTATCCGACACACGTGTTGCAAGGGGGACGGCTACCACAACGACGGCGATGCAGAAGAGATTCGCGAGGAGGATAGCAAGCTTGTGGAAACCATCGAAGTTTTGATGGAGCAATGGCAACATGTGCGCTTCGAATCCGCAGACAATTTCTGGAGTTTCCTCCATGACGACTGGGTGACCCGTCTAGACAGGCTCTTTGAAAGTATGCGCCAGATGGACCAGTCAGAGGAACATCAGGCCCAGCTTCAGAGCCTGGGTGTTAAGCTACATGCACCAATCATCAAAGCCAAAGTCGCAGAGCCGCCGGTGCGAGCGAGAGAGTCCATCTGGCGCGAAGAGAGTTTTTGGTTGGACCTCCTGGATACGGTTGCAGAGAGGGGTGATACTAAGTATTTTGACCGCGTTATTCAAGATGCTGCGCAAGCGCGACGGATGAATTGAGCGAGGCCAGTGGAAGAGGAACTGGATTAGGAGGGAGAATAGGGATAGTCAAGGTGTTCTGGACCAGCCTTCGATGGAAAAGATAGGATTTTCATATGAATTATTGGATACTTGGATATAATCATTCCATCAAGTACCTCAAGGACAAGACAATGAAAAGACCGGATTGGAATTATCCGGACTGGAAGGGTTGCTTTTTGAGGAATTTGAGGACGGGCGCCTGTGTACAACCATCTCGTTAAGCATTTCGTCAATTCTTTTATTCATGTCACCATCGTCTTGATGCGTTGCTCCTTCTCTTCTTAGTACAAAAACACGTCGCTCGACTCACGTTCACATCATTGCCATCATCCTCCTTGTTCCAGACTTCTTTCCAGTTTTCGCACTTGTTGTGGCAGAGTCTCAGGTTTCCTTACAATCAATGAATCAACTCTCCTTCAACTTGACATGACGAGGTTCACGTAAGATGACAACTTCTTCTGTGGTGCGTATAGGTAGACCATGAGCCGTTCACGCCCTCCGCAAACGAAATGATACCGATCAGTCGTCTTGAGGGTCATTACTTCCGGGGCAGGTACCAGGTAGTGTCCTGACACCGTAATCCCCAGTTGGGACAACGCCAATTCATCGCCGGCCTTGTTATCCCACCATAAGTTGACGGACGTCGACGATGTATGGCAAATCAAGAAGAACTATCAATGAATCCCGTTAACTCTGCAAGGAAACAAAGGTGCGCTTATTTTCCCTCCCAAGAAAGATGGAAGAAGCAACGTTTTGGTGACTCCGTCACGTAGTTGTCAACTGCAGCTGGTTGAGCAAACATTCCCGCTTTGGTCCGTTTCTACCTACAGACAGATCCTTTCCCTTCAAGGATATCTATCACGAAATGCATCTGCTGCATCTGCTGCATCTGCAACCCATCGCCCGACCTGTGACCGGATACCAACGGATTCTGGTTCGGCTGTAACCCGAGCGGCCGCTCGAACGTAGTATCATGATGGGAAGCCCGAAAGCTGATATACCGTTTACCGTAGTACGCCGAGCTGGCAGACAGGTCATTGTCTTGGCATCACGACCTCGAGGATAAAACTCGCGGGTCCGTCTCAAGACATGTTCGTCTCGAGTTCTTTCGCTCCCTTCCCTCCTTCCGCCCCAATCCACATTCTGAAACTCCTCATCGTGAACCCACAAAACAACCCAACCAAAATTTCTCGCGTTACATCTCCCAGCTCATAATCCTCCCATCACCACCGCCACCATGTCCTCCTCCTTAACCGACATCGTCCTCATCCCCGGCGGCTGGCACATCCCCGCCTCCTACCGCAAATTCACCACCGCCCTCTCAACCGCCTTCCCCTCCCTCCGCGTAACCGTCCTTCCCTTACCCAGCATAACCAACGACCCCTCCCCAACCGCCGACTTCTACACCGACTCCGCCTTTGTCCGCTCCTCCGTCACCCAAATGATATCCGAAGGCCGCCGCCTCGCCATCCTCATGCACTCCTACGGCGGCCAAGTCGGTTCCAACGCCTTGCACGACCTCCACCCTCAAGAACCCTCAACCAGCACTGATAGCAGAGGGGGCATAACCCACCTAATCTACATCGCAGCCGCCATGCTTTTCCCCGGTACCCTCATGAGCCGTCCCTACGGCGACTCCAAGCCGAACGTGGCCCTCGTCAGCCCGTCCGACTATGATTTCGGTCCGGAGCGGGTCGTCGCGCTGCACCCGGTGGAAATGTGGATTGGGACTCGGGAGGAAGATAAAGGGGAGGCAACGGAGGAGGAGATACGAGAGTGGGTGGACACCATTTGGCCGATTTCGACGAGGGTGTTTAGCCAGGAGTTGCAGTTTGCGGCGTGGATGGAGGGGAGGAAGATGAAGGTGAAGGAGGGCATGGAGGGAGGGAAAGAAGAAGAAAAGGGGGAGGGAGAAAGGCCGGAGGTGGTGTATGTCATGTGTACCAAGGATACTGCGGTGCCGTATGAGTTGCAGGAGTGGATGGTGGGGAGGGCGAGGGAGGAGGTGGGCGTGGATGTGAAGGTGTGGAAGATGGAGACGGGGCATATGCCTACTTTGACAGCGACGGGGGAGTTGGTGAGGATTCTGGGGGAGGTTTTGGGGAAGGTTTTGGGGGAGTATGTTTAACGTTAGGGGGATGCGATGATGACCGATTGTGAAGCTTTTGGAGTTGAGCAAATGTGGCGAAGTCACTCGACTTGACTGATGCTTTGCGCTGCTTTGCCGAGTCCACTTCGATTACCTGACTTTTATTCCAAACATGTTTTCGGAATGCTGTCCTTTGCACGTATGTCTCTGGCGACATGCTTTACCATCGCGTTGACGTTCGAGTGGTTGTCTGGGATGAGGGTAGCTCCCCTTATCTTATCCCTATCGCTATCTTATCACCTCCCCTGCCATCAAGGTACCCAACCGATAAAAACAAGCCTCGCACAGACCATCTCGCAAGCCTTCCCGTGATTCCTTTTTGTGCTCACAGATGACGGTGGTAGGGTGGACAAAATAGTCCGGACACAATTACTCCAAAACTCACCAAAAGAATGTCCGGTCTTTTTTCTACACAGCCTCGATGACGTAACGTGCGAACTGGCCCTGCGAACTGGCCCTGGAGCTGAAGCTGCTGCGCAAGCTGCTGCGTCGTAAACAACGGAATCGATGACAATCTCGTGACATCCGATTGAGTGTCGACTACACAGCCACAATTTCTTGCTCCCGTGTCGCAGCATCTCTGTCCCAACCACCTCATTCATTGCCTCAGCCCGACTTTCTTTGCAGCCCTTCAGTTTGCTCCGACTTCGAGTATTTCTTGTTTCCCTGCCTCCACTGCCTGCCAGTGAAACCAACGTCGGACCCTTGATAAATCTAAAGCTTGTTTCCTGCCAAGTCCAAGTCCAAGTCCTAGTTCCTTGCTGCTTAGTTTCTCTTTTTTGTTGCTGCATTGAATTTCAGTTACTTGCTTGCATCATCCGACCTACAACCTCGATCCTCAAACCCGAATTTTCAAGTGTTTACATCGCAGCGCATCGCAGCGCATCGCATCGCATCGCATACATATACGAACACAAACCCATCGACAAGACCGTCAAACAACTTCCAAAAATAATCACACACGCCTAAAAAAAACACAAAATGACCTACACACAACAACCCCCCGCCAACAACGCCATGACGGCGGTCGTCGAGCAGCCCGAGCCCGCCCACGTCTCGGTTGGCACGAAGCCAGGCGATATCGAGATGGCGCAGCCTGGTGTTGCGCAGCCTATGGGTACGTTATCCTCTTATCCTCTTCAGCTTTCCCTCCAGGTGTTCTTCATACGCTCTTCAGTGGCTCGTCGCGCTCCTAAATTTCCATCTCATCTCTGTGTCTTCCGGCGCCAACACCACGGTTTCCCGCAGCCTTCCTCCCACTCATTATCATCCGACATGATCGCAACGAACACCCTGCTAACCTCAACGACCAAAACAGACCCCATGCGCCCCCACGACGACTCCTCCATCGGTCTCCGCGGCGGAGATCGCGGCGGCATGTGTCCCGGCCGCTTTTGCTTCTGCATTCCGTGCCCGATACCGTGCGATTGCTGCTTTATTCCTCTCTAAACGAAACCCAACAAACGATGACTGCTCGAGGTTAAGCAGATCGATGGGTGATGATATATGCAGTACGACGTATTACTATACATACAATCGATGATGGAAAAAGGAGATGGATGAATGGATGCGGATGTTTAATGATGATTGATGGACGGACGGATGATAACGATGATGATACCACCACGCTTTTTCTTGTTTTGTTACTTTTTTTTGGAGGAGGGGTTGGCGGATTGATGGATCAATGTTTGACGCGAACCAGGCACCTCTTGTACAGCTGCGACATGTCACGAGGGTTGTATAGTTCTTGTTTGCTGCTCTCATGAAAGAATTCGGGGATAATGTAACATGGGTCATGACTTCTTGTCGTCTCGTCGGGAAGACCGATGCACGGGCGGTAGCTCGCTGATGAGCGATAGCATTTGTTCTTTTATCCTCCTCGAGACGATATGTTCAAGGTCGATAATGATGATGACAGATGATAATGAACATACACCGGGTGTTTTGCTTTTGTATTCATATGCTGTGGTCTTCTGACCTCCTTGTTATCGACGGCTTTTAGTCGTACCGTCCGCTGCTCCCCTTTTCCTGTTGTGTTGCAGCATGACAAAGCTCAACATCATTCCGCGCTCTTCAAGTCTCATGTGGGCACAACAGCCTCGAGCTCGCGAGCCCAAGGAAAGACAACCTCTCGTGGAGGTGTGCTCCCAGGGAAACACAGAGGCCACCTTTCCATTGCTTGGTCCTTCAAGGACGGAAGGGCAGTCGTTCCCCCCTCAGACGTATCCCGGTTCTCAATGTCCACCTCCAGCGACGCGAACCGGTAAGCATTCCTTCGAATACATCGATATCCCTCCTCCCAGGTATGCATCGGATCATCAACAAAAGGACACACGTAATTGTCCATAACGGAGGTAAACACTGTCGTTGGGCCCTTTAGTTATTGGAAACACGTTTTCCCCTATAGCATAATCTCTCGGGGAAGAAAAGGGACTTTGGATGTTGGAAGCTCCATGAAGGCTTCAAGTTTCTGCAGCCAGGCGGCTGTATCCCATATCCTTAGGTAAGCATCTTGATGAGCTTGAAGAACTGAGCTTGATTACCTATCGTAGTACTCGTCCCAGCGTCGCAGTGTACCTACTCTCATCCATATCCGAGTTGGGATGGAGAGCATCGCGAACATTCAAATGGGAGAAAACCAAAGTTTCAGGCGGGGAGACCGGTGTAGGATCGAGGAAGAGGACTCAGGGACAGGAATTGACCGACAGGAATTGACCGACAGGAATTGACCGACAGGAATTGAGGGACATGGATGTAGAAGAGAATTGAGGAAAGTAGATGAGGGAACAGGATTGGATGGTAAAGTTTGAGAAGCGGACTTGGAGAAGACGCTTATGAGGAGAATAGTTGAGGATGAAAAGCAAGAAAGGAAGAACGGATTTTTGAGAATAAAACGCTGGAGAGTTTGATGACGAGCAATGAATGATACCTACCTCTAGGCAATGAACCTACAGCAGGAATATTCCTCTGACGTTGCGTGACTTGCAGTAGCCGCCCTCCAGTAACGTTGGTGCTCATCAATTGCTACGATATGTACTGTACAAAATGGTGACCCGGCATATGAAAGGCCTAGACTGCTCTATCCCAACCAACTCTTATCTATCCCCAGCCTGTCGCCCCATCCTCCTCCCCTTTCAAGTTCGGCACGACATCCAGCAGCTCCTTCGGCCACGGAAAGACGACCTCGAGTGGGGAAGCACAATCCACGTCTCCAGCCTTTCGTCCGCAGAGCCGGTATGGGTGTTTGTTTTTGATCTGGTGCGGCGCTGACCTTCTCCAATGAACCGGGCCAGTACACGTAGAGACATTTCTGTGATATCTGTGTCCCATAGGAAGGCGTAGTTGTACTTGGGCCAGGACCAAGTTAATCTCCCTTTTTCGAACTCCAGCTCCTGGATCTCGGGGCGCTCGAAAAACTCCCCGAGTCGTGCTGACAGCATAAGGTAACCGAGCCGTTCGAGAATGGTTACCAGCTCTCTGCATTGGTAGAGGCGAATGCTGGCTTTTTCCAACCAATTGAGACGGTCAAGATCGATGTCCGAGGGATGCCGGCCGTCCCTCAAGATCTCGCATTGAAATGGGGGAATTTTGCACGATTTTTTCGTGATTTTTCCTGAAGGTTTTGAGCATGAAGATCAGCACCTTGAGCAACATTGATGGGAGAGTGTCACAGGTTGGCATTGGCTATATAGTGTGCCAATTCCCGAGTTCTGCCTTGCAAGCAGAACATCATCCTATCTTTTTTAGGTTTGGCCGTCTGGGCATATGCACCCCAACCTGTCATATAAGTCTAAAGAAGAAGATCCTAAGCCTAAATCTAAGAAAAACCCGTCTTTTCGTTCCGATTTCCTTTTCTACTCAACGATAAAATTAGTTTCCTATTAGTTTTTCGTCCGAAGCTCTTTTACCGGAGCAGCTGTAGTAGACTAAAAGAACTAGTAAGAAAGAAAGTTCTAAAAGTGTAATCTTTACTAGCGGGTTTGATATAGGGGTTGTTCAACGCCGTACTGCTGGTGCGGGTTAGCGAAGGAGACGTTCGAACATATTGTCTTGGAATATAGAGAAACGGGAGACACATGGTTATGGGGAGACCCAACGTGGCCGACAAACATTGAACAACTCCACGACGAACTCGAGACAGTAGCGGGGGCGGAACGAATCCTTCGCTGGACTTTGCGACTGGGACGACTGCAGGGGTACAAGCTGGCAGTGGAGATCGAACAAGCGAAGGAAGCAGAAGAGCTACTGGGGAGTTCAGATTGATCTTTGATTCTGGAGCGCGGGAGAGCGGGAGTACGGTCGGGGGACCACGCAACGGAATCAAAGATCGAGCCTCGGGAATGACGGTGAGGTCATACTGAGAGGAAGATAAACATCGAAGGCACGGCATCGACACGGCGTCGTTGCAATAGAGAAGCGGAGGGTTTTCATCCGGCTACGGTACGGTTTTTCCCACCGACTAAGAACGGAAGCAGCACCGCATACCCACTGGGTAGACTATGTAAGTAGTTTAGCGTGATAAGACAATATAAATTAGCTCCTAATAAAAATCTTTTTTCTTAAATTCTTTTCTTTAATTAGCTCCTAAATAATTTCTTTAAACAACTATCCCAAAGAGCCACGCCTCTATATTTTACTTATTAATAAATATTAAACTTGTATAAATTGTTGCCGCAAAACTACTATCTACCATCGGATTTCTTATATCCTATTCTCTTTAAGAATCCTATTGTTGCAATTCTATATTATGTTGCTTCGCACTTGCTTAATATAGATTTGCTCCATGAGTTGAAGTACGACAGTTCTTTTTAAAAAGTAGTTTTATAAGGTACTAATTAGCGTTAGTAGTTTGTACTCATCGCTTAAGTTCTTTTTGGAGCAGTGTGTTTCGCTCCATTTCAGCATACCAGATGCGGCGTAAGTTCTTCCAGCTGAATGTACGCGCCACGTTCCCATAAATAGCCCTTTGTATGGACGCCGCGAGTAGTAAGCCATACGTCGGCAAGATGACACTCGTGGCTTGCGGACCATGCCCTGTTGTTAAGCAGTCCGGCTGCTAGATACTGTGATGCGGTCATCTGTAATGCGTCTTAGGCAGGTTTCGTTTTCCAGTTATCAAGGACCTCGCCGTTCAGAAGACACATAGCAAGAACATATAAGCTCACACTATGATCACCATCTCGAAGGCTTAGAGGCTCTAGCCTGGTCCCGTAGCGGCAACAGTTACCGATGATAGCGAGCCTGTCCCAGTACTCGGTTATCGCTTTTCCTTTGATGCTAGCAACGATAAGCCCCTCTAGACCTCCGCGAGGGTTGTGTGTGCTTCCTTCTATTGTCTCGAGAACCGCCATTGCCATGAACATCGTCTCAAACTCCTCCTTCTGTAACCCTGCGGGGGTTCTTATCGCATGCAGGATTTCTAGGCAAAACAAGGTTGCCTCCTCACAGAACGATCGTGATTCTCTGTCATATTCCCCAAACTCTGGCTCCGTCTGGCTGTCAGCCTCGAACCAGCTGTCTGGTTCCTCCCTCCATAGTAACCGCATCTTCGACAAAGCAAGAGCATTCTCTTGAAATGGCCACGCTGCTGCCACCACGGGTCTAATATTATGTTATACAGAAGCTTGACTGCTCCTTTTGCCTCTCAGAGGGTCTCGGCACGCTAAGCTTGCTGCGATACATGCGGAGCCAAGGGGGGAGTCCGCTTGCATCCCTTGCTGCTTGCCACGGCCCGAAGCACCCGGCAATCGGTAGAACTCATGATGTACCCTGAAAGTAGACCGACGGGGCGTTCGCTCAACTGATAAACAAAGTCCATCGCATGGACTGCGTCTCGCTTTTCGTTGCAGTCGGGATGATCGCTGCTGCTGCTTGCGCAGGTAGTGGTCTGTACGATACAGTGTTGATCGATCCAAAGATACTTAGTCTTTATTTTCCGCATATAAGTCGTGATGCGGTTGAGAACCATATTTCGGACCGGCGAAACCTTGTAACCATTTCTTTCTTTGGTTTCTACCCACCATTCTCCGGAGGTTTCATCCTCACCATCCGCTGCATGCCATGTGTAAGACAGAGCGACGTACCTACGCTCTTTTTTCTTAAGGTCGAGTACGTTATGATACGATCGACGGAGAAACCCGCACTCCTCAGGAATGATCTCTCCAGATATGGCATCTTGAGGGGGATCTTCATGTGGATAATCGATAAATTCTAGACATTCGAGTGGTGGAAGGAAGCTTGTTGACTTGTATTGGGGCACTTTTTTGTCCTGAATCTCCACCAACATGTCGACGATGGATCGACCATGCCTTTGAGATATCTGAGACAAGCTTTGCCAGCAATCGTCAAACGTATTTGTCGGGTTCATGATGCGTTGTTTGGGGGAGCGGACGGGGTTTCCGGGTGAGATCCAGCCAGCAACAGTTCGGTCGTTCGAGGGATGTTCGTAGTCAAGCTGCATCAATAGCCTGCGAAAGCCTCCATTAGCGATCGTTCGATGCCGGGTGCAATCCAATATGTTACCTGTGAGTTCATGTACTGCGGCGGGAGCAGTTATTGGGAGTGTAGTTTCTTTCCGTCGTCCAGCTGGTTGCAGGTCGGTCAGGTTGAGTTTGTTTCTTTTGCCCTCAGCGCAGGAAGAGAGCGGAGAAGAGGGGAAGGCTACCTTTACAGGCAGTGCCGTGTGATGTCCCTCATCACCAAAAGAAATCTGCACGAGAAAACACAGGTTGTGGTAGCAATATCAATCAGCGGCGGTACCATTTCGGCGGGTCGAATTCTGAAGGGCAACTTAACAGAGCGCAAACGCATCGTCTAAACCCTTTCGAGAGCGTGAGGGGTGAAGTTGAAACGTTGATCCTACCTTAAAAGAGAGTGCATGTCCAATCAGACAAAGCCATGGCAAGAAATATAGGTTGGGAGACGAGAGGCGATGGTGATCATGGCGAAGGTTTCGTTTCGATGGATTTTGGAAGGTGTCAAGGTAAGAGTCCGGAGAACGATTTGGGAACAAGATTCAATCGACTGAGGAACAGGTTTGCGGAACAGAATTGAGAAAGCCAGTCCATGATGGGAGGGAATAAACTGGGAAGACGGGAAGGAAAAGTTCCAAAGCGAGTTTGGAGGAAAGAACAAACGCCGAGTCACAAATTGCCTGATTCGTCATGAAATGTGGAAGTGGAAGGTACGGTGGAACCGATGTACTACCTAGAAGTCGCGAAATGCAGGTTGAAGTAAAGCTTGATGTGATGCTATCGTGCTTTGGCTGGACTCTGGCAGTTTGATGTTAGGACACTAATGCCGTGGGCGGTTGACGTCGGGGTTGCAGACCTTCAGCATTGGATCCTGATGCAAGACGCAGAGGATGAACGAACGAATTCGATACAGTGCTATCGCATTTGGAGGGGCACTCGATATATTTCTGATAGTGTTTAGACAATATCGTTGTCCACTCCCAGCCTAACAGTAAATGACTTTGTGACCATCAACATCGTCTTCAACACCTTCATCACCTTCCAAGTCTTTTGACATCTTCAACAGAGCTTCGATATTTCATTCTTCAACATGTAATCTAGGTAATTCTTTTAATATGTGCATACATTTACTTCAAAGTCTTGCAAATGGAGAAAACCTACATATACTCCAAGACAAACCTAGCACCCTAAATCCTAGCCTAAAGATGGGGTTTCTGGCCACGCACATCATTCTATTCTAATGAAAATACTTACCGTGTATATTTGAACGGCTCTCTACGACCGACGCTCTTTCGTTCCTTCCAAATTAATTCTAAAGGTTGTGTTTTGGCCGGTGTTAGCCCTTTTCGAAATCCAATTGCAGAAGGGGACTTATCGAATGCAACGACTTCATTCTGTCACCAATTTACGGTACAAAAGGACGTAAATTGCTCGGAGTATGTAGACATCATTAACGCGCTCATATGTCCTTGTTTCTGGAATGATGAGAATATTGTCGTTGGAATTATTGTGAGTTGTCTTCGAAGTTTAGAGTGGTTATAGGTTTGTATTGGAGTGTATGTAGGTTTTCTCTACAAATGCCCTAGTTCGTACGCCTCATCCATCTCACACACAAAATTCCCCGTTTTTCCGTCCACATGTATCAACCCCGAGCCACCAAAGCTATTTCATTTTCACTGCGGGTCCAGGTACAAAATGGTGTACACCTCAACACATCGCACATACAAAGATCCTAAGTCCCCTTCCTACACCTAAATATACCTAAACATATTCTCCTTAACCCCCCTCTTCATAGCCACCGGTTTTCCATCCTCATACTCCACCCCCGCCGCTCCTCCTTCGCCCGCCATATCCTCCATTCTCATCCTCAGTTCCTCATCCATCTGCGCCTGCGTCTTGCGTTTCGGCTTCTGCTGCTCCGCAAACGGTCCACCAGCTCCAGGTCCCGTTCTTCTTCCCGACAGGCCCGTTGACGACGTGATATCAGGAGAAGTAGAGTGCGAGGTAGATGACGTTGAAGGCGTCGATTTGGATGATGAACCGGTGAAAGTGGAGGTGTTGAAGGAGGTCGAAGAAGTTGATGTGGTAGAGAAAGGGCTGACGGCTGTCGGCGCAGGACGGGGTTGTGTTTCCAGCGTGAAGCTCGGAATACTCGCCGCGCCCACCGAGAGATTAGGCAATGATCCCTCGCGAATATCTGCGGTAGAAAACCCTCCAGCAGTGGCGATGGGTTGTTGACCCAGTCCTGCCGAGCTATCCATTGGGATCGTGGCACGTCCCAAGTCCTGAGAGTGGTGAGCGTCCATCGGAGAGGCGTAATTGGGGCTGTTACTTTCGGCGCTTGCTTCCTTTCCACTTTTTCCTGCTTCCTTCACACCACTTCTGTTTCCACTTCTACCCCCGCTGGTGTCGGTGTTGATGCTTCCCTTCGACTGCGAATTGCTCTTTGCTTCGCCAAAAACACCAGGAAACTCACTAGTACCTCCAATATCCCGCCCCATCATCCTACTACTAACCGCCTCCTGACCACTCAGCCCCTCAGCAGCCATCTCACTCCCCCACACCTCCGTCACATCTCTCCCAGCTCTACCAGCTTCCCAACCATCGCTAGCGTCGGCTTGAGCTCTGATACCTTCCCACTCTTCGGGGTGGGCTACCGCTTTGGCACTCTGACTCTTAGCACCGCGGGAGGTGATACGTTCGGCGTGGATACCTTCCCATTCTTCAGGGTGTTCGATGGTTTGTTGAACGGTTTGTTTGATGCTGGGGAGGATTGTGTGACCGGTCTGTGTCCGTCATTTTTGTTAGTAGTTGTTCTGAGTGTTAGTTGTAGTCACTGCTCTTCACCGTCCTTCATCCTTCATTGCTCTTCACTTCTCTTACTGCTCTCAGTGGTCTCACTCCCCCAACTTCTCTAGTCATGGCTCTCTCGGCCCTCATTGCAGTCACTTCTCTCACTGCAGTCACTACTATCCCCCTCATCACCCTCCTCACTGCTATCACTGCTCTTCCCTGCTTTCACTCCCCTCTCTTCTCCCACTTCTATAGAAGACATGATAATGGAGGTAACGTACCGAAGTATCAAACAACTCAGGCAACGGCTCATCCCCCTTATCAACCGTAGGCATACCAGATTGCATGCCAAATGAAGACTGTTGGCCAACAGAGATAAAGCCTTTGCCGGCAGTTTTGGCCTTGCGAGTACCGCCTGTTTCGAGGTCTGTGACTATTCCCCTCTTGTTGCTTCTAGTGCTCCTAGTGATAGTAGAGGTAGAGATACGGAGAGGAGCGGCGGTGGGGGGTACAGTCCGGGGGAGACGGGTTAGGAGGCGGGACATCGTGATATCTAATTTCTTGTTTTCTCTGAGTGAATGTGACAATGATTTGATTATGATTTTGTTAAAGTCGAAGTGTGTCGATAATGTTGATTGAGTACATACGTCGAGGTTGCAACAGTTAAATAGTGAGATCGATGTATGAGGTTCTGTAGTGTGAGGTGCAGAGTGTACAGATTCTTGGCGTTAAATGAACCAAACACCCTTTTAAAACTCTAATGCCAGATTTTGGTCACGCTAAATCGCAATACATCACCGTTTCTTCAATCGTCGACCCTGGAGCTGGAGCTGTGACGAGCAGTGGCCGTCATTAGAGTCAGGTCGGGTGGTGATGTCATATCCCGATAGGGCAATGATCTGCGATAAGCTTTGCGACATCCGCCACTCGATAAGGTGCGATAAGAACCGCGGTCCACAAATTCCTCTTTTCATCTCATTTTGAGCACCTTGACGGCCAGAACGGCCAATTGATTTAGGGAACATTCGGACTTTTTGTCCACCAATTGTTCGTTCCATTTGATAGGGGTTTCCCTCATACTTTGACAAAGGGAGAAACACAAGATACAACAAATCACGGTAGCTTCACAATTTGATAGGACAACAAAATTTAGCAATGTGATGTAGGCATTATTAACTAGGTAGTACTAAGACAGTTCGTAATTAGGTGTACCCTCACGCCAGCCAAACACCAACACCAAATAAAGACTCCTTAAACTCCTTCCACTCCTCCAACACCTCCGTTCATTATGTACATCCCCTTTTCATTCCCATTCGTTCATGAATCATCATACAATTACAGTAGAGCAGCTCGCCGCACACAAGAAAATGCTCGCAAAACCACCGGGTATAAACATTAAGGAAATTACAACCCCTTAACCAGACTGGTACATTCCAACGGCATAAACGTGGGGGTTCAGCTGAGTCAGGTTGAAAGGAGTAACATAGAGATCCTCATCCGTCAAGACAAGGAAGATAGTGCCGTTGATAGCCGGGTTGCCATCAAAAGTGCTGACATCGGGCTGGACGGTGTAGGCGCTGTTGCCCTTGATATCCTCGAGGGGAGAGTAGGTGACGTTGAGCTGCGAAACCCAAGCGGCGAACTTGGGAGCGCCAGCCTGCGTGTCGGTAACGTAGCTGTTGTTGGGGCCGATGGGCTTGCCGGGCTCGTCCCACTCGAGGAAGACCTGACGGCCGGGGTACGAGAGGGGCATGGAGCGGTTACGGGAGATGGCGGGGGCGCACGAGACGCCGGTCGCGTTGGTCTTGGTGCAGTCGTCGTTCTCCTCAATGTCCCTGTACGCGGCAGTGTTGGCGTAACCGCCGTCCGTGGTCTCGTTCCAGACGTTGGAGCCGTTGATGCGGAAGGGGTTGGGCTGGTTCAGGATGTGCAGAGCAGGGTAGTTCTGCCAGACCAGACGCGTGTTGTTGGCAGGGCAAGAGGAGATGTAAGGAGCGAGGAGAGTCCAGGCCCAAGACTGAGGAATGCCGACCTGGAACCACTCAGGAGTGGGGAAGAGGCCCTCGAACTGGCGGAAGATCATCTGCTGACGAGCCTCGGTGGTGATGGACTGCAGTAGCATCTGACCGACGTCGTGGGCGTTGAGGTGGTTGAGGAAGCCGTACACACCAGCCTCACCGTAGCGAGTAACCTTCTGGCAGAAGTCGATGTACTCGTGCACGTTCATGGCCGGGTAGTTGTAGTTGCACTGGTTGGGAGCAGAGGGGCCAAGCATGTTGCTGAGGAGGGTAGCGTGGCCGACCTCCTGGTTGGCCATGTACTCGATCAAGTGACGGTCCTCAGCAGTGAGGCCGGCCTTCTCGAAATCCTCAACCGAGAAGCGGTCGAGACCCCAGTGGAAGAGGTCAAGCTCAATCCATTCCTGGTAAAGAGCCAGGGCAATGGACTGGTAGTCAAAGTCGGAAAGCATCTTGTAGACGGGAGCAGAGCCGTTGGTGCCGACACCGCCAGCGGGGGTGTAAGGGGCGGGCTGAGGAGCGTGAAGCTGGCCGTCGCTGGGGTACTTGAAGGCGTCGGGTCCGGGGGGAAGAGCCGGGATCGAAGGAGCCAGGACCGTGGTGGACAAGGCACCGGTAGTGGTGGGTGGGGGTCCGGTGTAGGGACCGTGGGAGGTTACATTGGTAACGGGCTCGACCGGAGCGGTGACCTTGGGTACCGAGAAGGTAGTGGTGGGCTCGGAGTAGACAGGAGCGGGAGCGGCGAGCGCACTGGCAGCGAGGCCGAGGAGGCCAACGCCTGCCGAGAGTTTAAACCCGGCCATTGTAACTGGTGTGGTGTGGTTGACGGGAGTGTCGAACGGGGAGCGAATGCTAAGAATGCTCAATGTCGAATGCTTTGGTGACTTGATGTGGGAAAATAAAAGTTTGGGTGAACCGGACGGATGTTCCCAAGTTATATGTTCTGTACCACGGCCAAGCAAACCGATTTCCCGGAGTGTTTTCACCGTCGTCACCAAGGGTCCTGGCGTGGAAAAAGCAACCAGTACCTGACCAAGGCATCGGGTGTGCCTGCGAGGTTGAACTGCTGTACCATCATCATCGATTTCTTCAAAATGTCCAGGGCTCTCCTACCATCGACTCAGTGTAAGTCCAGCCAACCATGGTGTCCGGCTGTTGTGCCCGCCCAGCGAGTTTTCCCCGAGTGTGTGTGTCTCGGTTGACTTTGTCTTTCCCTGCTAAGACGGCCAGCATCCCGCACCCGGCCAGGCTTGACGATCTGCAACCGTGGACCCGGAAAGCTCCACGAGATCCACGAGGCAGGTCTGCAAGCAAGGCAGTTGCTAGTTGTCCACTGATATCACTGCGTCATGGACGGTCATGGAGATGGCCAGGCCAAATTCTCGATTGGTAGCAGCGGGCGGATCTCCGCTCTCAGCAGCTAAGAAGGATTTTTGCTTTGTTCTTAACTCTTCATGATGAATGGACTTTGTTCTGCTTGTTCAGCATGCCGGGAAACGGACGTTGCACTGGTAGCCTCCATCTGGATAATTCGATTCCCCTTTTCCCCCTGAAAGCGGGAAAACAGCCGAACCATCATCTTCATCAACTGGTCCGATGTGAGGCGCGACTTAGTTCACGTCGCAAGCTTGACATGGATCGGGAAAAAAAGGTACTATCGAAGCTGCGTGTACCTGCAAATCTGCAATGGTGTCCAACGGTAGGAAGCTTCCGCCCGCAGACCCCGGTCGATGGAGGTGTCGTTGAACATTGGAGGAAAATGGAGGAGGCTCTTCATGGTGGATGGACCCGGATGGGTAGGGGACGCGCAAGCTCGAGTGTCTTGATTGGACGCCATCCAATTTTTTGGTATGGGAAACCTGGGATGGTGAATTGGCGATCGGTGGAAAGGTGGGAAGGTGGGGATCGGCTACCGGAGAGAAAGCTCAAAGGGTGGTGTTTGGTTGAGAAATTGTTTGGTGAACTGTGAAAAGAGAAACAAAAACAAAAAAAGGCATGACGACATGATGATGTGCCTTTTGTACCCTTGCAGTGGTGCAATTGGGGCTCTCCGGTGCCGCCCCACCACCTTGCCGCGACCAAGTGGAAGCTTGTTCAACCACAACTCCCCAACTGCCGTCTGCCAAGCCTTTTTCTTTTCCTTCCTCAAATTGAACTTCATCGACGGAAAGAGAAACAAAACAATGACCATTTCGAGAAACATCCATGAACCGCACATGCTCCAAAAGTCACCGAGACGCGTATTCATGTGTAAGACAAGACTAGGATCGACGGTAACCTCCGTGATCAGCATTTCGGAAGAAGCTTTTGAACCAAACGCTACCACTTACACCAAGGCCAACACCAACGACTGAATACCTATTCCTCCCAAACTATTTTTCACTCATGTACACTACGGTTCCTTGATGCCAGTTACATCCTTTCAAATCAAGAGATAAGGAGAATTGCCCCTTGCAGTGGCCTCGCATGCCTCCCACATGCCGACAGCCGACCCGATCCGTCCCCATGTGCCCCAAAAATGATAGCTCGGAGTGGCTTCGGAAAATCTATATGATCAATTTTGAGAAGATCTTCATATTAGTATCTTTATCTGTATCCGCGTAGTAGGGCAAAAGAGGGCCAGTGCTCTGGAACGGGAGGTATGTAGTTTAGGAAGTTGATGACCTTTTGATCTTATTAATCTCATCAATGCATCATGATTCATGCATCGCTATATGACAAACCAAAACAGCACCGGGAGGGCGTAGGAATTGCAGATCGGTGATTCTTTTGGGTAAAACAAAAAATTAAATCTACCGTAGAGCCGCGCGAAACTTAGAAAAGGGCTTCCCTCTTCGAGCGCCGGCATATGTATAGGAAGCTGGCTGGCAGGATCAAGCTGGCTACTGTGCCTTCAAATGTGTGCAAGTTAGTATGGAGGGTCATGTCCTTGCCTTTTCAATAACTGGAGAGGTACATTTGCTGGTGTTGCTTGCGTTCGGGGCAGATTTCTGGCAGATTTCTCCCATATGCCGGCACTCAAAGAGGGAAGGCCTTTTTAAATTTCGCGAATTTCTGCGATATACCCCGGAGGGACCTGTAAGAAATGGGAGCTTCAATTGGGGAAGTTGATGGTATTGGTTGGCCTGAGGAAGAAAGGGAAAATTCCAAGGAATGCGCGGCCCTGAAGCTAAATACCCGAATACTGAAAAAGAGGGTGGGGGATGAGTACAGTGGTTTCAAACTGTCTGGCCTGTAGTGTAGTGTACCTGGGAGATTCGGTTCCCGGTGTTCAGCACATAAGGTGTGTTTGGATAATCCGGTATCCTCCGGAGTCCGGAGTGTGACCACCGGCATCCGGAGCCGAAGGATCCACTTCCCGATCCCATTGTGGATAGCTGCCAGGAACACCAGTCCCGGCCGAGCTTCGGACAGGATGCCTGGACCGCTCTACTTCAACACGAAAGGACACTACAAGGAAACAGTATGATTCCTCTTCAAGAAGCCCGTTGTCATGTACCCTGCCGATACATCTACCAAGCATACTATTAAAATTACTGTAGTTGAACATTGAGAGCCTCGTATCCACAAAGCCTGATGAATGCAAGTGACACAAGTCTAGATTACGGCATGGGAGCACATCTTCCGAGGCTTCAGTTCCCAGAGAGGCCGGTAAGAAAACACTCGGGGGAATTTGGACTCGCCGTGTCCTCAACTCGCCCGTCATTACCATAATATGGTCGGAAAGCACACGTCGAGCAGCGTCTCTACCGGTTCGGATCCGCCCCCTTCTCAATAAACAAGACGACAGCATCCTCCATACCCTTCGACACGGCCGCATGCAATGGACTCGTCCCCTTCGAATCCAACTTGGTCACATCGGCACCCTTATTAACCAACAACGTGACCGTATCCATCCTTTCGCCCTCAATAGCACAATGCAGCGGCGTCCGTCCCGTGGTATCATGCGCATTGATATCGCCTCCCTTATTAATCAGGATCTCCAAGATCTTGTTCTGCCCCTTCATCGCCGCCATATGCAACGGCCCCGATGGCGGTCCCAGCGGGAACACGGGGTTGCCCACCATACCCCCGCTTCCGACCTGATGGAACTTTGGCGGCGGCACCGGGGGGATAACCTTGGGCTTCTTCATCCTCGCGTACCGCTCCGACTGCGTCTCCAGCGCGCGCCCGCCCGACTGCAAACGCCGATACCGTCGGTAACTAGCAATCGAATCCATGTTGTCGGGACACAAATCGTGGTTGTGCTCCTCGCACCGCACCTCGATAAACCACTTGCTCGCGTGCCGCTTCTTGCACACCAGCTTCATCTTGGCCGGACACCCGATCTTGTGCGTCGGTCGCTTGCGAATACCCGTGCCACTGTTCTTGCACGTGCCGCCGCGGTCGCACATCAGGTCTACCCGCACCACCTCGGACCCCTTGGCATACTTGCCGCCTGGGTTCTTGGCTTTGGCGCACCCGGATTGCACGAGCATGTAACCCTGGCTGATGGCGTATTCCATCACCGAGCTCATGGCTTGCTCGCGCGTGTCGTAAGGGCCGAGCATCAGGTTAGGACGAACAGACGGTAAACGGAGCGGCGTAATGGGCTGCACGAGAGGAGCTATGTAACCAGCTGAACCGGGCAAGTTTCCGTTCGCGTCCGGAATTTGGTTTTGGCCATCCGCTGTGTTAGCGGTTCCGTCGCTGCCGCCGTTGGGCTGGGGCGTGTCGTTGTTCGAGCTGACATCATTCATGGTCTGGTCCTCTTGGTCTTCGTCCTCCTCTTCCTGTTCCTCCTCCTCCTCCTCGTCAAGCATTGTCTCGTCTGGGGTGCCATTGGCGGCCCCTTGCTCTTGATGCTGTTGCTGCTGCTGTTGTTGGTGAACTTGGAAGGCCGTCAGCGGGTTATGCGCGTAGAATTTGTTTTGTTGTTGCTCTTGCTGCAGTTGATGGAATTGCTGGGAAGTCAGTCCTTTGCTGCGTTGAGCCTTGGACTTGGCCTTTTGTTCAGCGCGCTGCTGTTCCCGCTCCTGTGCTTTCTTCTCCAGCCATGCCTGCTGCTCAGGTGTCAAGTTCTTCTGCGGTGGGTTGAACTGGGCTGCCCCTAGACCCGAGTTCAGCTGTTGTTGGGCTTGTTGTTGATGTTGCTGTTGCTGCTGTTGTTGCTGTTGCTGGACTTGTGGTGGTTGATATTGTTGCTGCCCGTCGGCCTCGGGAGACTTGGCATTCTGAAGCCATTGGTGTTGGTTTGGATAGTTTGCCTGGGCACCCCAGTACGCATTGCCGGACAGCTGCTGGTCACGTAGGATCTCTTCAGGAGTTCGAGGTTTCTGGGTAGGTAGGATCTGGTGGTAGAGGGGTGCGGAGGTCTGGAGAGCCAACTGTTGCAACTGTGATTGGGTATGAGGTGCGAAGAGGTTTGGTAGCTGTTGTTGCTGGGGTTGATGATGTTGTTGCGCTTGTTGCTGTGGTTGTTGCTGCGGCTGCTGTTGTTGCTGAGCAGATCGCTGGGGCGGGGTCGGAGGAGGGTGGATGGGGGTCTCGACACGGTTTTTGGCGCTGGGGAGTCCGGCTGGCGTTTTGCTGTTGTTGGCTTTGGTGTTGTTGATTTGGCTGATGCTGTTGCTGTTGCTGTTGCTGTAGATGTTGATCCTATTCAACAGACAGAGAGGGCGGTCAGCATCAGGGAGTCTTCTCTTCTATGGTTTCATATTCCATACCGACACCTGGAACTGCTGGGCCAGGTAGCTATTGCCAGAGGTGCCAGACATGGTGTGTGGTGGTGGTGACGGGACCGAGTGTGTGCCCGCTTTGTTCTTGTGGGTTGGTATCTGGCGATAGATGGCAGAGGCACGGTAAAAGCACAGGCAGGAGAAATGCGTGAGACTGCGGTCGATATCCGGAGAGTCAGATTTGTTCGTGACCAGGAGGCCCAGCCACGTCGCCCGCTAAGTCCAGCCAATCGTGTGCGGAGACATGCAGGCCTTTGTGGGGCTTGTGGCTTAATCAGCCATATGCACGGACCTCTCTTCCCTCATGCACATATTTGCCTATTGTCCAAGCCCCCTAAACCACAGGCGCCATGGCTTCAGCGGCCATAGCGCCTCAAGCTGGAGGTGCAACTGCTACTTGCTTCAGTGCATTGCTTCATTTCATCACAGGCGTTGATGTGAGTGTTTCGACTTTCGACCAAACTTCATCCTCTTCATCCTCTTCTCAAACTTCTTTCATTTGACAAGATCGATTGGCTCACTCGGATTACAGCATCCCCTGCACTCCAAACTCACACAATGGGCACTGATGCTCTGCAACCCGTTCGGACGAGCTCAGGCGATAATCAGCATGGTGCCACTGCAGCACATAGTCGGCGACGATGAACAGCCTCCAACTCTTCGTCAACCAGCATAAAGGGTCTTCCCAGGCCGCTTAGGATACTCGAAGAAGATTTTGCAATCGAACTCTGGTCCTTGTTCCAGAGGTAAAGAACACACAAGCGTGCCTTTGCTTCAACAATGGACCATACCTTCGTCTCCTTTGTTATATCTGTTCTATCCCAGCCCGTCTCCTGGCGCTCTGGATGGGACTCGGGACTCCATTGTTCTCAAAGTCGAGACTTTTCGGATGCGGCCCATTATCTCCCGAATGCTTCTTCTCCAAGACCCCTTTGTGTCAATTTCAAAGCTGTTGCTGAGCTGTCGGGCTGCTCTACGTTTATCTCATCACCAACCATCCCTTTGCTGTTGCATGTCGAACCCTCAAGTCAGGACTGAATCTCCTATTATTATTATATTAAAAAAATTTAAAATTTTTTTTTTCCCTATGACTTTCGACGTATTGGCAGGACTATCAGCCAGCATCCTATCTATTGCCTTCAGCAATTGTCCCTACATTCATGATGCCGCCAAAGAGAGGTGCTTCAGAAGGTACTACTGCAAAACGTGCTGCAAAACGTGCTGCAAGATGTGCTGCAAAAGGTACTACAAAAGGTGCTGCGAAAGGTGCTAGGAAAGATGCCGCGAACGATAACGCGAAAGCTGCTGCAACGGCTGCTGCGAAAGCAATGTTGGAACTGGATGCGCTCAGGGTGGGACGTAATGCTTATTTCCATCACTACTGAAGAGGTCGGCTCAAGGATAATGCACGGTGGAAGGCTACACTGGGAAGCGAACGGGATGATTTGGGAGTAGATGGAGTGGTCCAGGATGAAAAATTGCCCTCGCTACCGAACGCGGGGCTACGACACTATATTTCCTACTATCAACGGCGGGGGATCGACCAAGAGACAAAAGACGACAAGTGGGAAAAGCCTCATTGGAGAACGGCCAGGGGATTGACCAAGGACATGTACGAAAAGGGAGCCGGTTTGCACTTTTGCAAGATTCTTGGGGTTGGCGGCATGGGGATAATCTGTGTTTTCGTCAGCTACAACAAGAACCAATCCCCAACGTTCTGGACGGTAAAAAAGGATAGAGGGAAACACCAGGGATTGGCCATGGAAAGGAAACCACAATGGTTAGTGCTTATATCATTGCTTACTGTTCGTCTGGCTTCGACTTCTCGGACATTACTAACTGGAGGCGTGACAATCTGAGATTCCTACGCGCGCCTCACATCGTTCAGGTCTTTGATTTCTCTTTTGAGGATGACAGGGAGGATGACGGAGAAGAAGAGGGAGATGAAGAAGGAGATGAAGGCAATTCGCCGTTACCGCCGTCGTCCAAGCGATCAAAAACCGAGCAAGGAAAATTCGAGCGAACAGAAACGGAGCGAACACAAGCTGAAGTACGAAAGGAAACTCGTGCTACCCGAGCAGGGCAAAAGGCCGCGTCTATTGCGAGGAAGGCGGGTATAGCAGTGCGTCAGCGTTAGACCGGGCCTACCGACCAGGTAGATCAGATTCCCGAGAGCATGGTCATGGAATACCTCATACGGGGTAACCTTCACAAGTGGCTTCTAAAACTGGCCAAGTTGAAGTATGCGAAGGAACCAGACCTGTGCATTCCCAATCGAGTTCTATGGGATATGATGGCGTGCTGGAGGCTGTCCCCTATAGCCTCCCGGATACTATACTACATACTTACGACTTCAATGCAGTCATGAAGATGTGCATGGCCATGAAGTATCACCCTCTACAGGATCACCCTCAAGTTGATGATGGCGGGTACATGATGCCCGAGAAACCAGGTGTGTCGCCCGGAACCGGTATGTTTCACTTTGACATTGATCCTCAAAACGGTAGGCTTCACTTGGTTAAAGACTTCGATTAATGAACTGCAACGCTGACGGCCATGAACCCAGTTGTAATTGGAGATTTCGACTGGGAGAAGACCAAAGGCAAGGTCGCCTCAACTCATCCGCAGTTCGAAATAATGACCGACCGACACGACAGGACGCCCATATTAAAGCTGATTGACTTTGGGCTTGCCCAAGAAATGAAGGTTGGCGACCTGGACCGCATGACCACGTTAGTAGACATGAAACTGTTTGAGAACTTTGATGCTTTTGGAAGTTCGTCTGAAGCTTACTCTTGTCGTTCATGCAGGGAAAACCTATGGCTGGGTCGCAAAAATGGTAAAACAGGTTACTTTCTCCCAGTATGTATCTATATTTACGGTCCAATTTCGCTGTAGGTAGTGGTGACACTGACCCCTTCTGCCATCCTCGTTCAGGAACAATTCACCAGGGAATGGGAAGCTGTTGTGGATCCACCCGATGCCCAAAACGCGCGGGTAGCCGGGCAATATAGCTGGAAGTCCAATCTCTGGCAGTTTGGCATGGTGAGTCCCGTTCTGCGTGCGCATCTTCCTTGTCCTTCTAGAAGCGATGACCTCGTCGCTAGTACTTCCATCAACCGTAGACCATGCACGTAGCCATAACTCTTCGATTTAATTCAAGACGTACCATCCACGCCCTGGGGCGCGCAAACTTGATATGCGGAAACGACTTGCCGCTAGAACAACAGAGATACCAGGATTTCCCAACTTACGGCTACCACTTTCTCGACCAGCAATACGATCATGTGTCCCTCCGTCTCCGCCACCTGGTCGCCCGCTGTCTGTGTGAGGTTCCCGATGATAAGCCAAGTTTCGAGGAGCTTCACGTCGAGATCTAGCGTGCCTGGGATAATGACAATAGGGAGGAGAATAGGGAGGAAATGGAGACGGCGAGACAGCGGTGTAAAAGGCACTTTGAGAGGCCGCCAAACCCGTCACCGCCGCTGTGGATGCAAGTGGAAGATGTCAGTCTCTCTTTTTTTCTTTCTTTTTTTTTTTGCCTCGAACACTAAACTACCTCGGAAGGGGAAATGGATTGTGTGAAATAGTTTACTAACCAAACCCTCTCTTCTTTTGGTGTACGTACAGTGGGCGAAGCAAGAGGATATCTTTGAACTTAACGAATACATGAATCAACACACTCCCTCTGAAAATTAAAGAGGGGCTTAAACTGAACAGAGACTTTAGCTATAGCGTCTTTGTCCACCATGTTTGTTGTACCTAGACATACATACTCATCCGAGACCCACAATCGTTGAAAGGAGTTTTGAAGGCAGTTGGTTTTTGTACCATACTACCTGTCCTTTTGGTTTTTATTATCTTGTTTTTCTATTTGTTTGCAAGTGTACACTATAATATACACAACAATACATGTCACTTTCAAGTCCAGACTAACAGTGTTTGAACACGAGCTGCCCGGTTCATTGATGTGATTCAAGCCAACCATAGCAGTGTATCTACCACTTGGTTGCGTACCCAAATTGGACAACCACTTCGGGGATATTATGGATCAAACTCGGTCGTCCTGGAGAGAAGAAGCGGTATTGCAAATGACATTCGATGTCAAACAGCGACGAAGGGGGTTGTTTACTCCAACTAAGGGAGAAGGTTTTGGTTCCAGGGGAGCAGGGCAGCTGGGAGCTGGCAGCGTACACTTACAGTTACTGCCGACATCATCCGAACACGCACATTTAGACGTACCCAGGCACGTGAAACATCAACCGGTGAACCCGAGAAAGTGTTTGATGGACATGCATTTGCTCATGCCGATGGACCTGGCAGGCAGGCAGGGGCATTGTTAGTGACGGACGCTCCAGTTATATGATGTCATAGTTCCTGTCCCAAAGCTTTGGCAGTTGCGGTACCCTAGTACCCCTTGCCAATCAACCAATGGAATAACAAGGATAAGTGGATCAACGTCTAATGCGGAGATGCACACTCGAACGTCATGCCAACGGGCCATCAATGAACATCATCGACTGACCTCAATTTCGGCCCAGTCGCAAATGAGAAGCAATGGTTTATAAGTAAAGGATGGGAACGGTTTATCATGAGGAAGAGTTCCAGACCATTTATTCATCAACAGCCTGCATCTATAATATCAAAGACGAACAAGTCATATCACCAGTCAACCAATAAACACCACACCTAAACCTACAACAACAACCAATTACAAGTACACATAAACACATAACAAATCCAAAGATGTCCGCCATCAGACTCTCCGCTTCCGCTCTCCGCCCCGTCGCCGCGCGCCGTGTCGCTTCTCCCGCATCCCGGGTCGTTGCCTTCAACCAGATCCGCTCCGTCTCTTCCAACAGGGACGAGCTCGGTGGTGTTCAGGGGTCTGAGCCTGCTACCAGGCATAACCGTTACAACGTGTACGTTCCCAAGTCACCCTCTTTCCCCCTCCCCCCAACCGAACCAATTCGTGAAAAAAAATTAAAAAAAATTTAAAAAATCCGAGAGAGAGACTAGCTGTTAACAAATCAAAACAGGAGAGCCGGCACAATCACCGCCATCGGCGTCCTGGCCGCCGGCGGTTACATGCTTTACAAGAAGGGCGACGAGAAGAAGACTTCGCCTTTGAGCGCTAGCCAGTAAAGGGATTCTACAAGTCTCATGGGACTATCTCTAGATAAATGGATGGGATAAGTGCGAAGTGCGATCATAATGGGAGGAAGGCACATTGAAGGGAAATGGGAAATTGCGAGGGCGACAGGTTCGCTTTCGCAAACAGATCGCGCACGTGCAACTGCCGCATGGCGATATGATACCTAATGATTCATGAATACATTTGCATCAACAAACCGATCTATTCACTTTCGTTTTGAAGCCATTGTGATTGGATTTGCTTATGTGTTTTTGAGTGACCTGTTCTGGGCTGTTCGGGTTCCTGTTGCGGGTGTTTAGTGCCCGCCGGCCGGAGCTTTACCCCACTTCCCCAACTGCCGGAGCCCGAAACCACGGCCCCATTTCCCGTCTTGGTGCGCCGGATCCGAGCGGACTTCGGTACTCCGTCTTCTCCAACTGGCGGCACTGCAACGGGTCCGGGTCCGGGTCCGGGTCCGACAGCCGATGTTAACCAAGGTAACTAGGGTAGATGCGATTGAGCAAGCTTAAAGCCCCAACTTGATGAGTTAAGAATCGCGTTCGAAGTTATCTAATCTCATGTGAAGTTATCTAATCTCATGTGACACAGCGTGCATGCTCTTCTACTGCGTAAACAATCTCCCCATGTCCTTGTCCCGGCCGACATCCATGGTTGCTGACTCCACACTGCCACCTCATAGTGTAGACTGCCTCCACTGCTCCGACTTCAACTCCAATCCCAACATCATCACTTCCAACCTCTCTACACAAATCCCATCTTTTCATCCACACACATACTCAACACCAACACCATCACCACCACCGTCGCCATCATGTCCTCCGAATCCGCCCCCGCACCCGCGGCAAAGAAAGGTTACCTAACAGTCTTCGCCCTCCCCACCGACCCCTCCTTTCTCCCCCCCTCCGGCTCGCACTTAATCTTCAACAAATGGTACAACGAGCAACACATCCCCGACATTCTCTCCCTCGGCTCTTCCTCCGGTTTCCGGTCCGCAAATCGCTACATCGCGCGGGCGTAAACCCATCCAACCCCGCGCTGTCGTCGACGGCCAATGACGTCACGTATCCCAAAGACAGCAAGTGGGAGTATTTGGCCATGTATGCGGTTGATGATGTGGAGAAGGCGAGAAGTTACCCGGAGAGTGGACTGTATAAGGTGCCGTTGGAGCATGAGATGTTGCCTGCTGGGGGGAAGGCGATGGAGATGGCGAGGTGGGAGATGGGGTTTTGGGAGGTTGTGGCGGAGAGTGGTGAGAGCGGTAAGTTTCTTTTGATTTTGGGGCATGGTTGGGTTGGTGTCTAGGGTTTGGGGAAGGGACTTGGGAGGGTATTGGGTGAACTTGTGGGCTAAAAGATGGGAATGGGATGGGATTGATGAGGGTGGATAACACTGGAGGGATTACACTCAGTGCAACAATATCGGGAGGCCTGGTCAGAAGGGAATGAAGTTGTATGGGAATTGGGGATGTTGGCTGTTGTGCTCCCCAATGGCACAACGAGTAATCGATGACAGATGGCAGATGGATGAGTGACGGCCATTCGGCATGGCTTGATTGGGAAAGGAACAAGACAACGGCCACCAACTAACAAACCCCCACAGACTCCTCCAAGCAAACGGACATCATCGTCGTCCCCGTGGACTCCTCCGACATCCCCGGCCACGACGTCCCCGGCGCCCACCCCTCTGCCATCCTCGACTACTCCCGCAAGGGATGGGAAGGACCCGATCCCGTTCGCTCTACTCTGCTCAAGTTCATTGCCCCTGCGCCCGGCGGAGATGGCACGGGTTATAAGCAGTATTTGGCTGTGGTATGTTTTCTCTTCCTTCCTCTTCCCCATCTCTCTCCCTCGGAAATCTTCATATTTTCACGTTCAGGTGTTTCTAAATGCTTTTGGGGTCTGGGGCTGTTTAGCGGAGGATGGAAGCTAATACAAGGGGACAAATAGCACGAAGTGGAACCTAACACGGAAGAGACAGTCATGCCCGAGTTCAAGACGGTGAAGTACAAGCTTTTTAAGAAGTTTGGGGTTTGAGAGCCTGTGATGATAGGTGGTCAAGTTACGATGCTCGTTTTAAGTCTAGAAAGAGCCTAGCACTCTGATTGTGGGAGAGATAAATCGCCTCAGATGACTTCAGTCGGCTCGCGACGTCAAATATTCCAACATAAACCATACAACTTCAACATCTAGTTCACTGCTTTCAAAGTTAGGTGTCCGTTTCATTCCCAAAGAATTCATTCCAGTACACTTGCTTTGGACCATCGTCTTAAGCTCAAGAGTTGTGTGGCCTCTTCATTCCGAAGACCGAGGCGCGAGTCGTGATGTTGACTACAAGCGTGATAAGGAACGCGGGAGTGATTCTCCCGAGTACCACCATTATGCCGCCGACGCCGGGCCTGCACGCCCTTCACCAGAGCGACCAGACATCGGACGAATGACTCCCCTTCCTGCACCCTTTTCCACACCCCTTCCCGCACCCCATCCCGCGCACCTTCCCGGGCTGGCCCAGACAGCCGGCACTAGTGGCACGCACTACCGGGCATATAAGGTCCGTTCCCCAGCCCCTCTACCACAATGGGCAGCCCTGTGGTGTGGTTTTATGGCACAGTGGTTCTGGTTCCCGTTGATGAAAACGTTGCCCGGGTGCGTGGTATTCCGGGGCCCGTTTTCGTAGGTCGCTGACTGGAGGATTGAGGTTCGTTCCGCAAGCTCAACAGGGCGACTGAGCTTTTTGCCCTTTTTCATTCAATTCAAGAATTGATGCGGATTTCTAAAACCTAGTTCCTGGGTTTTTCCTTGTCGTTTTGGAGTTGCTTGCAGCGCAAGGTAGAAAAGGGGTGGTGCATGGATGATGGATGTGATGTGATGCGATGCGATGTTGATGTTGATGTTGATGTTTGCAGAGGTTCCACAGTCCAAACCCGCGGCCTGTCTTGAGCAGGCGGTAGTCTTGTTGCTGACCTTGTTGGTGACCAGGACCTCATCTTCGTCGTGTCATTTCTTCTGTTCATCGCAAGGGTCGGTCAAATTCGCGCTGTGTTCTCCAACCCATCAGGAGTTCAGACTTTGTTCAGTCTCGCTTTCCTTGAAAGATGGGCCGGGTTCGAACTTCGAACACAGCTCTTTGATCAGTACTGTCTGATGCGTTTAAGTTCTCCTCTCGTGTCCACCAGACACACCGAGGCCACTTCGAACAGAAATCCCAATCAGGAGGTTGTCATAAAGACAATGAGAACAGCCATGTACCTGCATTTTCAAACCAAGTTAGTGAACGGAGGAGCGAACCGATGAACTCGACAAGAAAATAAATAAAAAAACAATGAAATACTTACGCAGCACAACTCCCAAAGATCTCATGCTTCTTTGCCCTCGTACACACACTCAACACCACGCCAAAGGCTAACGCGCACGAAACAATCAAGCCCATCATTTTAGCCAGTGTCTGTCCAGTAATCGCAGTACTCTCCTCCTCACTTTCTCCATCCTTCTTGTCTCCACCACCGCCCTGCGTCCACGAATAGAGCGGAATGATGGGAAGACACAGCAGGCAGAGCATGAGCAAGATGAGAATGACCATCTTGGCGAAGTGGACGCGGGCTATCGAGAAGAGGTTGAGTGGTGTGTGCTTGCTGTCAGCGTGGGTCTTGGTGTGGGCATTGGCGAAGAGGAACTAAGATGCGAAGTTAGCCTTTGAGCTCCTGACTATCTGACGAAGAGCTGAGAAAGAAGAAGGGGAGAAGCTACCCGTAGTGGAGCACAGTTGTACTTGACGAGTAACTGTATGATTCTCCGGTCAAGCCAGGCGTCGTCCCTCCCTGCTTTGAGGGTTACCAAGTCGGACTGGCATCCAAGATATCGCTCGTGTCTGACCAGCGGCTCTTTGGCCTTGAAGAAGCTTTCGAGACTTTGGAGGTCAAAGTGAGATGGACGGTCGATGTTGGCGAGATTGTTGGATATGGTGAGGAGCTCGCCTGTGCTGAAGGTCAGTGAAGTGTTCCATTTTAAGTCAACTTTGCCTCACTGACTGCATCTCAATAGCCTAGCCAGACTTGAAGACGTTGCTGAAGTACTGGAAGAATAGGAAGACGAAGAAAATCCAAACAGTCATACCATACTTCTTGAGCTTCTCCGCAATCTCTTCCATCAACCGTCCCCTCGCCCCCAATCGATCATCATCCACCTCCCTCGTCTTGAGGACTGTGGCCCTGTGCTCAGCATCAAACTGGTCCATCCTGTGCAGTTGCACTTCGAGGGCTCGTAGCTCATCCTGCATGTGCAAGAGAGTCCGGGACTGAAGGTAGCGAAATTCCCGGAAGATGTAACCGTCTTCGTGGGAAGAGATGAAGCGGGCGAGCATAGGGTAGCCATCAGGTGCATCAGTCACTGTGATGATGTGAGTTTCGGGATCAGTTAACAGGAAGTCTAGGGAATGGCTAATGGTACCTTGCATGTTGACATAACTCGATGGTTCTTCCTCGGTATTGATGTAGTCGAGGCACGGATACGGTTCGAGCTCGATTCTGTTCGGAGTGTTAGCGAGGAGTGACTCCTGACCATTGAGTGTGGGGGCTCAACCCGACCGAAATACTTACCCATCAATCTCTTTTTCTGACTTTTCTTCCGTTCGAGATTCTCCCCTTTCCAGATCAATTGACCATGCTTTGTTATTTTCATTAAAAACCTCCGCCATCCCCTTGATCATGTCCACCGACCTAACGGACTGTTGGTCCTGCTCTGAAGGCATCTTGTCCGTCACCTGTGCGCACTCTCCAAACGCTGGACCAACTATGAGGCCGCCGATACCCGTCTCGCCTCTTGGGCACCAACAGACAGAATCTGGAACTAACTGCGCGGCTAACCAGAGTGTAGGTAATGTCAACTGATTTCTCGACGCTTCAATCAATCTCAGTGATGAAGTCCGACAGGAACCATGCAGAACAAAGAAAATGACAATTCTTGAGTTACATCCGACCTCGACTCAAACTTGACTCGATGCGTTTCGAGACCGACACAGGACAGGACGGGTTCTTCTTCTTCTTCATATCTCTCGACCATTTCTTGTTTGCCAACTGGCAGACGGGCTTTGGCGGCAGAATGAGGGGCTGAGTGTAACCATATTGGAGTGATTTGGACGGATTTGGAGGGGTTAACTGCATCGAGTGCTACAGTACCAAGCAAAAAGCCGCTGCGTCCAGTCGTCCACTGGGACTTGTTCAGGGGTACAGTATCGAGGCGATCTCCTCGCCATCCTTGACGCGGGATTCGACGGGTTTTGACAGATGGGATGGGTCTTTCACAAGGGCCTTGCAGCTGTTAGGCTGACGAGGGTTGGGAGAACGCCTTGCTGTTTTTGTGAGCGGTTCAAGTGGATGTTCAGGTTGGTGGTTAGTACTTTTGCTGGAATTGGAAAGGAAAATATCTCGAATAGGAAGCAATCAACATGCAGAGAATATGTCATCAAGGTCTCTGTTATCATCATTGCCCTTTTTCTTCATCATACCCTTGACGATGAGCGTTGAAGGACGAGTTCAACCAGCAAGTGTCTTGAGTTTTGTGGATCGAGAAACTCGGATGGCCGCGGGCAAAGTTGTGGGCAGCTGCATTTGCGCAGGTACTGAGCCACAATTGTTGGTTACAATTGAGCATGGCTTGGCGACGATGGATGGAATTGATTGGATGTGGTGGTCGAGCCAAGTCCGACTCGTGATGGCCGAGAACATGTTGGACAAATTGCACCGCAAAAGGACACTGGACACTTGCAACGAGGAAAAAAGTCAATTGCTTCCAAGTTCTTGAGGAAGGAGAAGGAGGAGTTTTTTTTGATTGAGGAAGAGGACAGCTCCTTCTATCTTCTGTTTATTTGTAGATGCAATCCCGCAATTCTAAATGATCTAAAATGTCAATCGTGCCTGCCGTTCCCGTCCATGTGTCCCAATGCTAATGCCGTCCTTCCTTCCCACTGAAGGGCTCCTCCACATGGGTACCAATGCCCATTGTTCAGTGCCTGTCTAGGGTATCTCTAAGGGCCATGTCCAGCCCCAAAATGCAATCGTGAATGTCGTGATCGGTCATTCTCCCGTTCTAACCCCGTGCTTGTCCCCCCGTCTTTGATGCAAAAGCCCCGCCGCCGCCAACCCAGAAAGAAGAAGTGTATGAGGGGTATCGTGAAGAAGTGTTGCAAAAAAACCACCAAATGCAATGTCTGAAACATGAGAAAAAAGAGGTCATGAAGGCATCGCCAACAGACCGTGATGTCGTCAAATCCAGTCGTCCCCAGAGAAGTGATATGTCGAAATGTCGAAATGGAAGAAAGAGAGAATTGGGAAAAGTGGAAAGTGGAAATGTCACTTCACCCCAGTCCCAGTGTCGATCGTGGCTTGCATTCCTCCCCGGCCCTTGCAAGCGCCCAGACGATGAAGCCGGTGTCTGACTGGCTGGCGAGCGATGGCTTGGTGGATTTTGCAGGGGATGCGCCAACGCCGATAGGGTGTGCATTGGAAAACTCAGAGAACGAGCTTGTACCGTTTTGGTGTTGCGCTGGCGTAACTGGGGTAACTGGGGTAACTGGGGTAACTGGGGTAACTGGGGTATAATGGGACCCCTCTGGTGCTGGTGTTCATGCACTTTTTGGAGTCCTTGGAATCCTTCGATTTATTGTCACGAGATGGGGAGTTGGATCTCTCTTTGTTGCGAGGAGGAGATCTCGAAGAGGACCTCTCATATTTCTCATAGCTGGGAGGTTCATGGCGAGAACTACGCTCGACGTCGTCTTTATACCGCGGGAGTTCAAAGTCGGATCTGGGGTCGCCTAATGTGGGTTTGGCATTGGGATCAAAAGGCATTTGTTCTTTACGAGGCTGGTGGTTAGATGTGTTCTGCGCAACTCATGAGAATTCATGGAAATGGGTGTAGGGTAAAAACTCACTAACGAGATCAAGGGCCGTTGTAATTGGTGTCTTGGAATCTGACTTGGTCCGATTGGCTTGGTTAGTGTCCTGCAGAACATGGGTGGGAGCGAGATGCAGATGCTACAAAAAATGCTCACATTTGAAGAACCATAGCCTCCGGTAATACCCCTAGGGTACAACTCCTTGGGGCTTCTTTTGTTGGAGGAATTTGAGGAACCCTGAGAGAAAGTGGGGGGCACACGGTCAGCACAATTTGTTCTGCGAGTGTGAGTGCTGCCAGCTGCAAGCAGATGAGTGGTCTCTGTGGGTGGATATGCGACAAACAGACAGACAGGGGAAATCTGCGAGCAAGTGGGCAATGCGACATTGGAGGACACTCCGCCAGGTACGTACCATGGCTTGAGAATAGCTGCAAAAACACCAGAAGTACTTGTAGAATCACGATGAAGAAAGCAAAAAAGATGGCGAGTTTGGGAAGCAATGAGAACGTTGAATTCGTTCGAGTTTGAGCATTCTAACTATCACAGCGGTCGAACTCTCTTATAGTCTTGTCTTTTCCTATACAAGACCCTCTTCTTTGTCCTTCAAAGAGCGTCCTCAACACCATGAACGGGCTATGAATGAGAGTTTCTTTGTTCTCTTGCATGGCGATGGCGACAAAATGGTCGTCTGTCCTGCTCCTGACCTGAAGTTCGAGGCAGCGCTGGCGGATTTCTTTGTTCTCAAAATCTGCCAGATGTACGTTGGTTTGAGAAACCCACTTAGTGCTACCCTGAGCCAGGGTCTTCTGTTCAGCAGGAGAGAGGGCTGCTCACAAGACTGGACCAAGCCAATCAGTCTTCTCTCTGGAACAGCATGTTGGCGCATCCTAGGTCTTTGAACGGGCTGAGTGTCCAAGAGGTACGCACATCAGGAGGTTCTACAGATATTGAGCTTTGTTGGATGTCAGAACATGAGAGTGTCCTGGAGAAAAGTGTAGTCTGTAGACTGCTGCATTTGACACTCTTCGACCAACAGGTTACCCTTTCTTCTCCGGCGTCATTTGTCTTCTTGCCTTGCTCTTTGGTCACCAAGGTTTGCTCTCAATGAAGGTGGTTCGCTTTACCTGCCATTTTCCTGTCTACTCAGCTCTTTTGGAGTGAGAGAATGTTGGAAAACGTGTTTGTTGTTGCTGGCCCTTTCGCCCAATTCCGCCTGAAATTACTGGAGGCATCTGCCTCCAAGCGCTTCCATGGCCACCAACAATCAGGTATGTTTCCTCCGTATGAACCTTTCAACATTGAAATGAAGTGTCATTTGTTTACTTTGTCAGTTTACCCCTTCCTTCGTTGCACCACCACATCCAACGTGGATCCAGATAAGGCTGGTGGTGAGACGAGATGGCAGACACCAGTGAGACGAAACACAGGCAGCGGGTTTATTAGGGTACCAATGCCACCAGAGGGATCGCAGTTCCAGCTGCCAGGAACAGGGCATTTCGAAAAGCAGGAACATCGATTCAATGAGTGGGGCGATTATCGGATGAACTCGAGCCTTATCGGACGAACCCCCACCACTGGATGAACGACGTCATCGGCGCCAGTTAGTGATAATTGTTAGTGCAGCGTACCTTGATGTCCATCCTCCCCGTCATGCCGAGTGGAAGGAACAACTACTTCCATTTTATCCATTTCATATCCTTCCTTCTACAAGATATCTTCAACAAACGTCCAATTTGAGTTTACAACGGCGCGAAACAAAGGTTCGGCCCGCACCCACAAAGCCTATTGTACTTTTTTGGACGGGATCCCGCATTTCCTGCATTGTCTCATCGCTGGGTCAATTTTGCAAGCAAACAAACAACACCATTGAAGTCCACATTCCAACCACGCAGGCGCCACAAACGATTGACGTCTGCAAGGGAGGACACAACGGCCGCCAGAATTACACATTGCGGCTCATTCATCGCGACACACCCCTTAACGACATACTATCAAAATACGACCAACACCGACAGACATCATGGGCGGCACACAGATCCCCATTCCCAACCCTCCTCCTCTACCATCCCATCTCCCCGACAATGTCCTCGACCTCGCTGTCCAGGTTGAGCGCAAGAAGCTGCCAGATGATGTTCGAGAATCGCTGCGCGCATTCCAGCGTGCAGGATGCTACATTGCCGCTTCCATGATCTTCCTGCGCGACAACGTTCTTCTCAAACATGACCTTCAAGTTTCCCACATCAAGCCCCGACTCCTCGGCCATTGGGGAACATGCCCTGGGCTGATCCTGGTCTGGTCGCATCTCAACGTTCTGATCCGCAACCACAACCTCGATATGATCTACGTTATCGGTCCCGGCCACGGTGCCCCTGCCGCCCTCGCCTCTCTATGGCTTGAAGGCTCCCTAGAGCGCTTTTACCCCGGCGAGTACGACCGCAACGCTACAGGCTTGCGCAACCTCATCACCCGTTTCTCTGTCCCGGGAGGCTTTCCCAGTCACATCAACGCCGAGACTCCCGGTTCAATCCATGAGGGTGGTGAGCTTGGCTATGCCCTTGCTGTCTCGTTCGGCGCTGTCATGGATAACCCCGATCTGATCGTCACTTGCGTAGTGGGCGACGGTGAAGCAGAGACTGGTCCAACAGCCACGGCTTGGCATGCTATTAAGTACATCGACCCCAAGGAATCAGGTGCCGTTATTCCCATTCTCCATGTCAACGGCTTCAAGATCAGTGAGCGTACCATCTTTGGGTGCATGGATGACAAGGAGATTGCTTGCTTGTTCAGTGGCTACGGATACCAAGTGCGCATTGTGGAGGACCTCGAGAACATTGATGACGACTTGCAGAGCTCGCTGGAATGGGCCGTGTCCGAGATCAAGAAGATCCAGAAGGCCGCTAGGGAGGACAACAAGCCGATTGTGAAGCCAAGATGGCCCATGATCGTCCTCAGAACTCCCAAGGGCTGGACTGGTCCCGAGGAGGTAGAGGGTCAGATCATTGAAGGATCCTTCCACTCACACCAGGTCCCTCTGCCCAAGGCCAGTAGTGACGAGAAGCAGCTCCAGGCTCTTGACGGATGGCTTTCCAGCTACAAGATCAACGAGCTGCTCGATGATGAGGGCAAGCCTACTGAGGCCATCACTCGCGTCCTTCCCGAGGCCGAGAAGAGGCTCGGACAGCTCAAGACCACCTACGATCCACACATTCCCCTGAAGGCGATTGACTGGAAGCAGTTCGGCGTCGAGAAGGGTATCGATGAGAGTTGTATGAAGACGGCCGGCAAGTTCCTCGACAAGCTATTCCAAGAGAACCCCAAGACTCTCCGGCTCTTCTCCCCTGACGAACTCGAGTCCAACAAGCTCAATGCCATCCTTGACCACACGCAGCGCGACTTCCAGTGGGACGAGTACTCAAGGGCAAACGGGGGCCGCGTCATCGAGGTCCTCTCCGAGCACAACTGCCAGGGCTTCATGCAAGGGTACACTCTCACCGGCCGCACCGCCCTCTTTCCCTCATACGAATCCTTCTTGGGCATCGTCCACACCATGATGGTGCAATACTCCAAGTTCGTCAAGATCGCTCGCGAAGTCCCCTGGCGCGGCGACCTAGCCTCCATCAACTACATCGAGACCTCCACTTGGGCTCGCCAGGAACACAACGGCTTCTCTCACCAGAACCCCTCCTTCATCGGCGCCGTCCTCAACCTCAAAGCCGAAACCGCCCGCGTCTACCTCCCGCCCGACGCCAACTGCTTCCTCAGCACCGTGCACCACGTCATGAAAAGCAAGAACAAGACCAACCTCATCATCGGCTCCAAGCAGCCCACGGCCGTCTACCTCTCCGCCGACGAAGCAGCCGAGCATTGTCGCCAGGGTGCCTCCATCTGGCACTTTGCCTCCACCCCTGACCCCAACTTCGCGGGACAATCCGTACAGGACCCAGACGTGGTCCTAGTTGGTATTGGCGTTGAAGTAACCTTCGAAGTGATCAAAGCCGCCGAGCTCCTGCGCTCCATCGCACCCGCCCTCAAGGTCCGCGTCATCAACGTCACAGATCTGATGATTCTCATTGAAGAGTCCAAGCACCCACACTCTCTGTCCAAGCCCAAGTTCATCGAGATGTTCACCACCGACAGACCGGTGTTGTTCAACTACCACGGTTACCCGACCGAGTTGCAGGGTTTGCTTTTCGGACGAGAAAAAGCGGAGCGCATGGATGTCGAGGGATACCAAGAGGAGGGAAGCACGACCACGCCGTTTGATATGATGCTAAGGAACAGGGTCAGTCGGTTTGATGTGGCGAAGTGGGCGTTGAAGAGGGGTGCCGAAAAGAACGGGGAGATGAAGAAGGACTTGGAGGGGTTGCTTGGTGAGGTTGATAAGAGAGTGAAGGGGGTTAGGGAGTTTATTGGGAATGAGGGGAAGGGTAAGTCTTTTCTTTCCCAGACTATGAGAAGCTGGAAGAGACAGGAGTGCTGACAAGTGACACAAACAGATCCCGATGATATCTACCATATGCCCAAGTTCGAGTAGAGTTCTGACTCGCAGGAGTTGCTGAGGGCGCTGGACCTGATTTGTGGAATTTTGGCTATGGGGAATCTTGGGGTTCCTCTGTTGCCCTTTATGGGGAGAGATTCCAACAGGTAGAGCGCACTCTAGGGAGAGAGGCTAGTTGGGTAGGAAAGGTCGTGAACCTAGAAAACAGAGAGTCGGGGTGTGGTGGAAGAAAAGACGAAGGCCTTCGATCGTATAGAGTTGTTAAGAGTATTCTTTCTTGTATAGAAGTTATAGAACATGTTTACTTGCCTTCGTCTGTACCGGCCAAACCGCCAAAGCAACTGTGACGGAGGTGGAAGAGTCGAAGACAGAAAAGGGGCTTTGAATCTGTCGTGGTAACGGACGAAGTCATGAGGAGAATAAAGGGAAACACAGGACAGCCTGCATACTTACCTTACCTACTAGGAATGAGTGCCGGTTGTGAGCGGGAAGCCCCGGGATATGTGAATAAGCGCCCAGTGTACGGAGCTTCCGAGAAACCGGCCGACTTCCATCTTCTAACTGGACGCCAGTCTGAGACGGATGAGGGTGCCAGATCACACCACTATTCATTAGGTACGATGGGGTCAAGGACAATCGCAGGACACATGGAGGTAAACGAGAATCTTCACATGCAGGAAGCACTGACTTCAGATTGATAAATAGGTAATGAATGAGAGTAAGATCAATTTAAACTACTTCGGTAATGACTGTGGAGGTTCTTTGCTGTCGACAACAGTACCTATCAAGTGATATGGTATGAAAATGTTCCCGTCTCCGTTCTCAGTACCGCAATGACTGTATGGTAGCTACTACCCAAGTTTCCTCCAACTCGTACGTGTGGTCCGGTCCAGCCGGATTACACACACTGTTCTTAATCCTTCTGTCCTTGTAACTGTTGTCTGTTGTCCAAGTCTGGATGTGGGACGGCACCATAAGGTGAAGTGATGGAAGCAGACTAAGCAGAAGCGAGCTGGGTCTGCTGCTCAGCAAGCCGCTTTTGCCTGTTATGCCTGGACTTGATCATCTTGATGACATCCTTTGCGGCAAGACCCATTTGGTAAAGAAGATTTCCTGTGCTTTCGCCAACTCCTCCAGGTCGTCATTAGGATGAGGGTACGTGGCCGCCAATTGCACCGAATAGATGTTAAGGTTGAGGCACGTGATCCTCAATCTGATGATGAACCTGTCGAGTTCGCTAAGCCAGATGGCGTCCTGGTACCACCAAAGAACCGATGGGCTGAAGGTGGGTCGTCCTACATCTTCTGTGCCGTTGATGATGCGCTGCAACGCATCAATTTGGAGTCTAAGCCACTCGGTTTCGCCCAAACCCAGCTGTTCCTCTGACTCTATCCCTTCCTCATACTTCTTGTTTCTGTAAGGCACAGACTGAACACCTCTCCTTTGGAAAAGTTCCACCTCCATGTCTGTGAGGTAAAAGTCCGCCAACCTCTTCCACGACTCGTGGACCAAATCTGGGCCCACCAGCGCCGCTGATTCGTCGGCGACCTCGAAAGACCGGCTAAGGGTGGGGTTTTCTTCCTTGCAGGCATTATCTAGCCTGGTAATTTCGGCTTGGGCTTGGTCGTAGGACAGACCACTGTTCTGGAAGCGCTCGAGCTCGGCCGTCGCCTTCTCGTCCATATTCTTCTCGGTGCTCACATCCCGGGCGTCGGCTTTTTTAATAATCTCGTCCCACTCCTCTGGGCGATTGTTGGGGCTGAAGCGCAATTCAGCCTGGATATATCTCTTGCCATGATGATGGAGGAGCTCCCTGATTCTCAAGAACTGTTCCTTGGTGGGCTTGGACGGTTTGGTGGACGCGGAGGTTGACATGATGTTGGAAAGATGGGAAGGAAGCAAAAAAAGTAAGGTAATGTAGGTTGTGATAGTGGGTAGATTGGTTATCCAAGATGTAGTCGTTGCTTGATTGTGTTGCGGATCTAAGAAGGATCACCAGGATCACTCGTCTCTGAACTTCTAAAGGTTGCTTGTTTGGTGTGCGAAACTGAAAGTTGTGTATGAGGAGGATGATGTTGGTTGGATGGAACTGAATGTGCTACTATGGTTGTGATATCGAGACTATCAACCCGAGAGGCTCGACCCTTATATATTCTCCGAATCCTCATGGTTTCATGGAGTAATCGTCGTGCAGGTATTACAGCGACATTTGGTAGAAGAAAGAGCGCTGTTGGAGGTCAAGAGACTGGATGTTGGGGATGTGGCGCTTGAGTGTCGAGGTTGTCGACAGCATCATGCACCTCCTTTGACATGACAGGATCATGGTGTCTTCCAGTCGTCTAAGAGCAAACGACCAACACCAACACACATTTCTTCCTACATGCCAGTCTTACTACAAGGTCGAACAAAGCATGGTAGGTACCTACCGACTCAAAATGCGAAGACCAAGTTCCCAGCTTGAATCAAGTGGTAGACGTGATCAAGGGCCGGAAGGAGTACCTACGGCAGACGTTTCTGTCAGACATCACAAGGCGAACCAACCAACACCCACCATCATGGGGAGAAGACTAGGCAGTTCAGCCTTTGTTAATATACGGGCAGTCATGGAAGTACAGACCCAACGCCAACGACTGAAGAACATCGCCGATCTGACGCAACAACTTCCGGTCTCCGCCGGTTCTTTCTTCTCCATCGCATCGCCCTCCCAGCAGTCTGGCTGCCACGGAACTTTTGATCGTACCTTCCTATATCCAAAGGATCATATAACTCCACAGAATGCCATGTCTTTGTTCAAACCAGTACCTAGACCTAGGGTAAACTCCAGTCCAAGGGCGTGTTCGTCCAACGCAGTAAGATAATTCATCCGGTAACGGAAGCCGTCTTTGTGCTATTGGTTTTTTTATGGTACAAATGCTTTAGGTCAGGTTGTAGGGTTGCAAGTGTTTCCTGCACTGAGCTACCAGACTGCCACAACATGTCACAACTAGAACTAGGTCTAAAGAACAAAACTGCCGCTTGCGGTAACTTATCAATCCAACTGTCAACTGCCACCCCCATGTAGTTGACTGTTGAAGGGCAACAAGACCATGAAAGAATGAATGCTAACAGGGTAATTTCTAAGCGCGTGGATGACTTGTCTCGCTTGTTTAGAGGGCGGTCGGTCATACCCCGGAACCCGTGCCTCACCGGACCCCCATAAAAGTTCCACTTGATGGTGATGCGAATGAGCCTAGCGGCGAGGCACGGATTTAGTATGGAACCTACTCAAGGAAAGGGAAAAGTCTGAAAACAACCTGAACCAACCGAACACACAACGAAGCCAAACAACCAGAGAAGTGATTTGCTTGGACTGAAGACGGTCCTTTCTTTGCTGCCCGGTAACCAACACGGTCCAACAGATGCCGCCGAACACGGCGACTCGCCCGAGTGTTGAAGCCATCACCATGTCTTGGCTTTTCCTTGTCATTAGTGGATACCTATTACGATCCGCAACACTTGGGTGGTTTTCCCTGGCTACCTCCTGCCTCGCCTGTACACTACACTACATCTGTTCGGGGACTTCATCATCCCTTTTTCTGCTTGTTGTCACCTTTCTCTCACTCTCTTTATTGCAACCAAGCAAAGAACTTTCACACCACCGCATTCTTCGTCTCTCTCATTGTCCTAGCTGGTCCTCGTCTCCGCCCCCATAAGGTAGGTACAAGTACCTACCTCTGGGCATAGTTCAACACACCATTCAGCTCTATAGTGCCGCCATGTCACTCCTCAACTTCCAGCTGTCCCAGTAACTCTACTACGTGTACCAACGGTACCTTATACATCTAATACCAGGACAGCCAACAGCACGGCAACAAGGCAGAAGAAGTCTTGAAGCTAACAGGCAATAGGTAAGTACCAAATAACGAGAAGAATAAGAATGTAATTGAGACTAAAAGTACAATATCGTAGTATATAAAACAAGCCAAAAAAAAACAAAACAAAAAGCACACGTCCAAGGCAAAACCAGCAACAAAAGCCAGTTTGCTGCTTGGAATTTGCCATAAGGGGGTATATTCTTTTCCAACAAAAAACCCAAAAAAAAAACAAAAAAAACCTGATGATCGACGCCTCCTCCATGATGTTGTTGTTCCCTCCAATGTTTCGTGTTGTTGTTGCAATGCCGCTCAGCAGCATTTTGAGTGAGTGAGGCCCCGTCGATTTGCCATGAACTCCGCCCGTCCGCCCGTCTGTCCGCCCGTCAACCACCGCGTATGTACCAAACCTGCCTGTGGCTGCCACTTTTCTCCCCATATAGCCCTCCTCTTTGACTTTGACCCCTTCCTTCCCTCCTCCGCCCCGATGATATTACAGGTGATAGTAGTAATGAAACAAAGATGACCCCAAGTATTAGAACAGTGTAGTAAGACAAAAAATGAAGGAGTGACAGAAGGGTAGAGGTAGGTAGAAAGACCGAAAGAGAGACAAAATAGCAGAGTAAAAGACCAACACCCAAAAAATGCAACCACTCCCCACCTTCAATGTTCGCGAGCGTAACGGAAACCCATCCACTTCGGACGCCATCTCGCGTTGCGTATTTCTCCGATTCTTCCTCGAACTTCCTGGCAAAAAGAAACCTGAACCAATGGGTATATCCGGCCAACAACCCACGCTGAAGCATAACCAGTAAAAAGGAAACCCAGTCAAAACGCCTTGAAATGCGACCACAGCCACCACCACTCCCTCTTCGCCGTTCGTTAAGGAATCATATCCTCAAGACAGCCGTCGACTCCAGTCCTTGAGCATGACGTTGACAATGTCATATCATTGCTCAGAGACCCCTCACAAGGTTCACACCCCCAACTCCAAACTTCCTCAACTCCTCCGGCCCCGCATCCACCACGATGGTGATCCTCTTCGCCCCCAACAAGACGCCAGCGAAGAAGATTCCAACAATCAACAGCAGCGCGACCAGCGTGACAGTCGCAATAGCCGTCAACTCGGCCCTCACGATCCTCGACACCCTTCTCCTTCCCGTTCCTGATCCAGCTCCCACTCCCACTGAACCGGTCTCCTTTGAGCCACCACTGCACTGTTGTGACTGCTGCCACGCCAACTGCGTCGTGTCCACGCGGGGCATATCGCTTGGGCTGATGGTTTCCGTCTTTCGAAGTTTCAGTTGCTGCGCGCCGGCGGTATAGCGGAGTTCGGTAAGCATGGACTGGTGAGAGGAGAAGTGATAGTGCGACTCGTTGGTGGCGGCGCGCATGAGGGTTGGGTTAACGCAGAGTTTGGCAAGGCGGTCGAGCTCTTCGGCTTGGGATTGGGTTAACTGGTGTTGATGGCCGCCGGCAGCGAATGAAGGTTGCGAGGTTGGTGGTGGGAAAGAGCGGCCGCAGGCGAGAGCTTCCTTGAGGGAGTCGACGGTTGAGTCGGCGTCAACTTTCCGGGGGATCTCGGCGAGTGGGCGGAAGCGGGCAGGAACGCCGACGGCGAGGTTGAGGGGCGGTACGGATTTGGTTACTACACTGCCGGCGCCGATAACGGCTCCGTCGCCAATTGTTACGCCGCCTCTGTGAAAGGGGTTGATGTTAGTAGGGGATACCTTGGTAGAATAGAAAAGGTGGTGGGTCCGATGCAGGGGAAAGTAAACAAAGGGAGATGAGAGCCGTCTCCACAGAAAAAAGGGGAAGAAGAAATCTAGAACGATGCAACTTACAGGATGGTGACATTGGCGCCGATCCACACGCCATCGCCGATGGTAATGGGTTTACCAATGCTGCTTCTCTGAGACTCTCGAGCCTCAGGGTGAATCGGATGTCCGACGCTCACGAGCGTACAGTGAGGTCCAATGTTGCAGTTCTCGCCAATAGTAACGTCGGCAACAGGTGTGTCCATGATGAAACAGCCCCGGTTGATAAAGGTCGAGCCTCCTACCCGAAGCCGCAATCCATAGTCGACGAAAAAGGGAGGCTTGACAAAGGGAGTGAGAGCTTTGAGGGTTGGGTCGCGGAAGGTCATGTCATGAGTGATAGCTCCATCTTCTTTTCTGTTCCGAGCCGGCCGGATGATGCTATCAAACGAGTTAGTGATGACCAAGATCTTGTCGCATGCTTGTAGACTCACTCAAGAAAGAGACTAGTTCGGACGTCTGGTGTGGCATCTTCAGGCATGCTATTGAAGCGTCTACAGGCTTGGGCGCACCGATCCCTGGCAGCGCGGAAGTCGTCAAGACCAGCAGGGAAGGATACCCCTGCCGCGGCTAGAGGCTGCTTTTCCATTTTGTCCATTGTGTGCGAAGTGAAGCAGTAAGGGTTTTACTGCTAAGATGGAGAGTAGTATGTATTTGTTTGGCGGCTGAAAGATGTAGTCGAGAGCGGGTGCGGCTTGGTTGTGTTATGTAGTTTGTGTTCCCGCTGTGCCGACCCTGTAGTGAGAGACCCAGATTTGCCGAGGGGAAAGTGGTCGGGGTAAGGTAAATAGATGTTAAAATACGATTCTGTGGCTGCCAAATTAGGCCAAAAAGTCGAGTTCGTTTCGAATAGATGGGGGAAAGCCAAGCTTGTGCCTGGAGTGAATCGACCGACTTGTAATGAGGATTGGCGTCTTGCCACTCCTGGTGCAATTCCAAACTTGCCCGTGCCACGAAAGGTTTGGCGAAATTTGGTATAAAAGCCCGGACTCAGTTGGGACGGACCTCTTCTTGATCTGTTCGGTGGACGGGTCCCTGGAAGGTCCTGGATGGCTAGGCTGACCCCACGGATGGGTTCGATCACTTCCCCGGACAGGGGTAGACGGGTCCAAGTTGACGGGACTGAAAAATTCCAGGGGTGGGAGACAAAGGCAAAATATGACAGTGTGGTTGCTTTTAGCCAAGCCTCGGAAGTCGGAATCAACTTTTTCGTAGCACAGTATCGTCAGGAAGTTGGAGTCGATGATGGCTTGCACAAGGATTTTTGATACGGGGGTAATGCTAGAACCTGGAAAGCACACGAGGAATTAGTGGGGGAGCTCATAGTAGTATATAAGCTGGACCGCTGTCCGTTGCTCCATCCATGGCATTATTAGCTGACAGGTGCAACCAAACCACCAACACTGCAAACCCATGAGCGTCTTACACGAAGCGAAGCTGCGAGTGCAGCAACCACCGTACAATACGAGGCCCCAAACAAAGGGGTAGACGTGATGGTACGTAAGCTCGGAGCATGGCCTGCAAATAGCCGCTTCGCTGAGTCATGATGGCATATTGTTGGTATTAATGCTGAGGCTTATGTCGCTGACGCCGTCACTGTTGGCATGTTGGAAAAAATGGAGGAGACGGGTGTACTGTACTGAGATCAGGAAATTCACCCCTGGACGAACCCCTTTTGGGGGTTTGCATATGGGGTCCGGCCCTGTTGCCCCTTGTCTAGCGCTCTGAATAGTAGCCGTTATAGCTGCCGCTTATTACCGACCACGATCTTTTGTTGCGCGCATACAGTGTCGACGGTACTGCCTGGTCTGCGTGTCATGTTAATCCTTTTTGCTCCCATGTGGCCGTTTGGTGACTGGAGTCATGCGAAGCTATGGGCCTGAAAAGGGTGGGAATCGGCATGGAGCAATGGTAGGAAAATCGCGATATCGCCGACCGCGTTCAAACATGTTCGGATGCTGCTGGAAGGCCGGAAGCCAAGCCTAGAGGTCGAAATTCGAAAAAACAAAAAAAAAAAAAAAAAAAGGAGACAAACCAGTGAGAGGGTACACAATTCGGCACCGCTCCCTTACTGGGCATCTTGCCGCCGTGTGACCTCCGCGAAAAGGTTCAACCTTGTTGTCGCCCCCCGGGTTACTTCCGCCCTTCCGGGACCAGCGGGTTGGCGAGCTGCTGCAGTTTGTCGCGTGCAGACGTGCAGAAGTGCATGGCAGCGGATCCATGTCCACCATTTCCCCCCTGGCATTAGCAGGCATTAGCGCATTTTCAGGGGTTCGGGGACCAACCCCGTCCATGCCGTACCGTCCCATGCACGACGACGCATGTCATATATGGCTGCCTGTGTTCTCGAAGAGACAACTCTGGAGCTGAGAAATGATGGATCGTGCATCAAAAGTCCCTCAACCGCCCAACACGGCGTCTGGACCCGAGACCCCAGCGCCGCGGAGGAGGCACGGCAGAAGCAGAAGCTGGAACAGACCCGCGGGTTACAGTACGCCATGCCGCTCGGCGAGCGGCGTCAGCTCACATTTCACCCAAAGAGACGGACCGCGGGCGAGACAGAAAAAGGGCCAGCGAGTGTGGGCAGTAGATGCTGCGTTTTCAAGATCAGATCAACTGCGTAGCGTCATGAAGTTGTTACCAAGCGTCCTGCTTGCCTGCGGGAGAACAAGACGAAGTCGACGGGCGCTTCCTTTCCACATGTGCCAAGGTGTGCGTATTTGTGAGGAGTATAGGATGTGGTGCTATTGCGCTATGTAGTAGCTAGTTAGGACCAATCGTTCGTTAGGATTTTCATGATGCATGTATGAGGCAGGTGTGAGGGTGTAGGTACTCAATGTAACTAGTGGTCCCCCAGAGCCTCTCCACGGACCACAAGCGCTCGACCTGGGCGTGGAAGGCTCCATCCGGTCGGGTCATCCGTCTGTTCCGGTTGCTCCGCGGGCGCCTCCATGCCAGAATCTTGCACGGTATCCGTAGGTAGTAATTAGACCGGAGGAGCTTTTTTAGGTGGTCCTCCAGGTGTGGCTCCCTACTGTGTAGTCGTTCCTAGATGCTCGGCGACTACCACGTTGTACTTGAAACCCCACTCGACCGCCGTCATCGTGTCTCACTCTCGGCCGAGTTTGAATCATCAGCGACAGGAACACATCCCTTTCGTAGTGCTCCGTGCCGTGTATACTGTGATTCCATTTGATCCCGCACTCCCGCTCATCCCGCACATCCCGCACCCAAGTCCATAGCCACGGTACGCTGACACAATTGGTAATTGGTAATCACCGCGTCTGGTTTCATCAATTTCCACCCAACTTCCGGCCGACCTTGCCCTCCTTGTCCGGCTTATCGGCGGAGAGCTGACTCCTCCCCACTGGACCTCGGGCGCCGTCGCTGGCGTCATCGGAACGGGTATCGATCATGGCGTTCGCATTGTTGCGCAACGGGTGGTTCTCGTGGCTTCCGGCACCGCGGTCACGCTCGCCTCGGGGGCCTTGGCGAGTCTCCTGTGGGTGCGCTAGCGGGAGACCCATAGCAAACATTAAACCCATGCCAGTGCCCATGGCGATCCCCGTTTCAAAACCACAGCGGAACTCTGGAGTCCAATTGGTGACAGACGGATCGCCGCTAATGCTAGTTTCAGGACCAGCTGCACTTTGTGTCTGGGGAGGTTGAGGAGCCGGAGGGGTCTGATTGCGCTGTTCCTGTGCGTGTTGATCCGATGGGTTCGGAGAGTCGATTGGGTGGTCACCTACGCCGCTGAGCGGCCTCGGATTTGTGGTAGTTTTGGAACCTATGACGAATTTATGACGGTTAGCGAAGGAACGATATTTCTTTTTTCGGAAACAATCTCATTCAGGAATCCTTCCACTTCACACATGCCTTGATGAGGTGAATGCTCCTGTTGTCCACTCCGAAACGTATCGGCGACACTATGCCTTGCGGGTGGAGTGACTTGGAATTGGGGGTTCGTGGGTAGGCAGTTGAAGGTCGAAGTGTCCGTCGGCACGTTCGTGTAGGTTGGTGCCGGACGGCTGCTCCCGCTTCCTTGGGCTTGGACTGCGTGGCTGGAAGCGCTCGGAACTTGAACAACCGCTACAGGGTTCCGTCCAGGACAGCGCCAGACATGGCAGGTATATTGGTCCTTGTGAGTTGGGTAACAGGCGGTTGAGCAGAGCTGGGAGCCGCAGTAGATGCAAGCTAAGACCTGGGCAACCGGCTGGACGAAAGCCATGGGCATGCTTGGCATCATCTTGGGCTTGATTCTCGGATCCCGGGACAGCGGTCGCCGTCCGTGTGCATAGGAACCTGTGTGGTGTGTTCCTCCGATTGTAGTGCGTATAGATGCTTCCGTACGTTGGCGGTGGTGCTTCAGCGGGGGCGCGCTGCAGACGGCACTGAATAGCGAATGGCAAGCGCTAAGGTGGGGAGGGCGGGAAGCCAATGAGACCTTTTCGATCCGTCCAGATCTACCGGCAAACGATGAAGCCGCGAGTCTTTACACTGTTTCCGATGCGTCTTCCGTCAGCGGAATTCCCTATTATCAGGCGACAAGTGGAGTACCACTCACGACGGACGTTTCTAGTCGTCAAACTGGCCGACTCCTTCACCGCGCGTCTGCACAAAAGGTCAAAAATGCCAGGGTTGAGTGAGCAAGCGGCGGCAAAGACGCAAATACCTGTAGCAGACTAGCAAGCTGGCAGGCCCCGGCGGGTAGCGTTGTTCGCGCTTGTGGTGTCGCTTGTCGAAGCTTGTCTCGCTTAAGGTCCAAAGTTGGCAACCTCATCAATTGCAATTTGGCTTGGTCACGGTCTTTTCGCCGGTCCGCTCGATTGGCGCAAGACGGGAGAAAGAGCGTGTATTGCGGAGTTTTGGGCGCGGGTATGATATGGGGAGGGGTCGGATATTTTGTGGGATGGGTTGAGAAATCCTGGTTTTCCAAGGCGGGTTGTAGAATGGGAAACACTCAAAGTTTGGACCATGGGAAACGCATGCAACTTCCATCTGGCTGTCAATTCACTTGCGTGCTGTGCGGGTCTGCTCATGCCACACCGATTAATCCGGACCGTTTGCTACACTGCAGTGCCTTTGACTGCAGAGTGCGGACGGAAGGTGCGTTCCGGAAGCACGTTCACTTGAGGACTGCAACTTCTTTTGGTAAACTACCGTAGAAGGAAGGAAGGTTTCACTAGACTATTGGCATTCACCGCCTTTCTGCGATGCTTTGTTTGCTCTTGCCTTGGAAATGCCTACTCGTCGGGGCTCGACCTTCAGCGGGGACTTTTCTCTCACACAAACACACCGACTGCATTCCTTATTTCCTGCTCTACATCACTCCGCGCAACAACTCTTCTGAAAACCGTCACTCCTCACTCCAATCTAATAACTTGTCGGGTACCCTCAGCCATCCACTGTTGAAGCCGGTGTAATGAATCGATCTCAGGCCGTAGAGGAGGATTACCTCAGCCTCGGACTGGAATGTCCCAATCCTGCAATATTGGCTAGATTCCAATTTCCGAAGGACTACGCCATCCTGCCACCTCTCGTCACGAAGAACAGACGACGGTAAAGAGTAGCCACGGTTGTTCTTCTCGCACATTGTTGGAAATAACTAACAGGAAGAGGTCCAGGTCTCTCGGCGATTGATCTTTGTCACTTGGCATCCACCGCTGTGTGATCGGCCCCTCCGAATCCAGGTACCAATCTATCAAGCCTGATTTTGCACAAAAGACTTTCCTCGGCCCCGGTCCTACCAGTAGTGTACAATAAATTATCTGAAAGTCGAGCGCAGTATGAACAGGGCGGACTTCAAATCACCAAACTCGTTATCTCCTGATTGTTTGTGCAGAGGGTCTATCTCCCAGCCTATGACATCGCATTGGGACCATCGAGTCACTTCGGTCCACCACTTATCAGGTAGTGGATCTTCCAAAACCTTCACCGGTCTGTTCATGGACGCCCAAAACCGTGTTGGCCCCCAAAGCGCTCCGGCACTAGCCCTGGACTGAGTTGTGTGGCTTTTGCGCCCCCAGAGGAGCGCGGAAGGCATCATCTCGGCCCAAAGCCCCGCGACATACTGATAACCTGATAGCCTTTGGAATGATCGAGCGACGGCCGATATGGCTGGCAAACTATCGAGGAGAGTGTGAGTTGGCTCCTGGAATGATGATTAACAAAGACTTTCCACCGCTTACACAACTCTGGCCCATTGACGCTGTCATTTCGCCGCTGAGCAGACGTAACTGTGTCAAGTGGAACACTATCGTGGACTTTCCAGCCTTCTTATAACCTGTGCAGCGGCACCCAATTCACCAATGTCTCCTGCCTGTGGATATACCTATCCACCGGTTTATACTATTTTTTTTGGGGGTGCATCTTCCAACTTCATGATTCTGAGCACCAACATCTTGTCTGAACATCGCCATGGTCAAGCACTCAGGGAGACAACAACCTCTCATGGAAGGTCCACGCTCTCTGCCCCAGAGGGTTGGGCTGGAATCCGCTCAATAATTGCATGTCCTGTCCCAAAATCGAGGGGAAATGCCTGAGAACATACAAGTCGCACCTGTGACGCAGTTCAGCTTTGACATGTTTGTCATCGGCTACAGTTGATAACCTCTTGGCAAAAAAATGACGAAAATAACTCGAAACTCTGAAAAGGCTGACGTCCAAGTATTTATGGGTGCTTTCGCCGCGAATCGCAGCGGGCTTTTCAGCGGTCAAAGTGGCATTGGTGACGGGACGGGAGAGTGGAACAAGCTTACACTCCCGTCGCCGTCGGACCCGCAGTCCTCAATTCTTATTGACCAATCGTATGTTATACACCAGCCCTCCAGATGCCTTTTTCGGGTATATGTATGACAGACAGACAGACAGGATGCGCAGTGCTGAACGCCCAGCGTCCAAAAACACCAAAAGAACGGGTCGCGAAGGAGTGGAGCTTGGCAAACGAGGAAACAAAAACAAAAAATGTGGGATTGCCAGGAATCGAACCTGGGTCCTCTCGGATCGCTGTGAGAAACCACAACGAGAAGTACTGACCACTATACTACAATCCCCTTTGATGGTTTGGTGTTAGAAACAAGCGCTATTGTACGCTCATCGGAAAGCGAGCCTCGGCACTTCGGGGTGGCTAGTATTCATCCACACAAAGATGGTCGAGCGAGTTTGCCTTCCATGGAAGAAGACGGGAAGGGAAACCAAAATTAATCGGTAGCAGAAATGGTTCTATCAGGGAACTAATCACGAGTTGTGAAGTAGAAAAACGCAGCTATACGAGTTGAATGGCTCGGTGAAGCCATGAGGCGATATCGTATGGCGGTTCGTTGGTAATGTGAAGACTGAGGATGGAGAGACAATTCCATTCACGGTCATTGTTGACGATCAACCTGATATATTGTGTGTTACGTGCAATTCCGCACCTCGGCAGGGTATTTGTCACTACACGAGTAGTGAACTTGTTGCACTTTCATCGCAAGTTTTCACAGACTCAAAAAGACCTTCATCGTACCGATCTGGATATCCATGATGTGTTCAGAGCTCCTGAGGATATGCTCATCCGCTCCTGCATATTATTGTCTGACACTCTAGACTTACAAGTAGAAAGTATTATTCACCACTTGAGAACCATGTCCTGAAGGCTGGCTCCTTCCGGGACTTTACTCCATATTCTTGCTCTTGCATAAAGGAACGATGATAAAGGAAGGTTTGGAAGGTGAAAATGGGAGAAATGAGGAGGGAGTAGCAGGAGGGAGAGGGAGAGAGATAGGCAGTTCAAAAGGCCAAAGTCCTATCTTACTTTTCTTTCTCAACTTTCTCCTTTATACCAACAAGAACATCCCCACCAATGCATCATCGATAATTATTTCACAACTACCATCAAATAATTAGACCTCTATCAGTAATCGCCATGTCCGGCACACCCAGTGGCTCCCAGGCGCAGCCCACATCTTCCCAACTAGCCGCCCCCAGCGTCAATTCCCCAGACTCATCAACATCCGACACCGCCAGCAAGCAATACAGAGAGGCGCTGGATCTCCTCAATTTCCTTTCCAATGATGTCCGCGCAAAAGTCAACATCAGTTCACTCAGCTACGAAGAGAAAGGCGGTCTCCGAGACATAATCAGCGCCGCCGTCCTCGAAGTACGCAAAGTGCTCGGGTCTTTTGACGGCAAGGACTTCGTGAGCCGGTCCTCCGAGAAGCGCGAGAAGATTCTGGTGTCGCTGAAGGAACTCATCTCCATGTACTTAGAACATATCGAAAGCAGGAATATGCAGGTTCTTGTTGACCTCATACCTCCACCCATCCAGGGTCCCGAATATATTGAACACAAGTCTCCGGATGTGGTTGTTGTTGACCCCATACCCATCCCGGGCCCCGAAGATTTCAAGAAGATGTTGGAGACAGAGAAGGAGCAAGAGGAGGAGTCGAAGAAATGTGCGGCTATGGCGGATTTGGTGGTCAGGCAAGTACAGGCTTTGCATGATGCTGGGATGTGGATTCAGGAGGTACCGGGAAAGGGTCCGAAGGTTGAGACAAAGAGCGAGAAGACGGAGGTTGGGATCAAGGAGACTGAGGTTGAGATTGACTCGGAGGATACGGAGGTTTCGAACGTCACTCACCGGGATCCACAACACCCGAAGCCCAAGATGCCATCATCAACTGGAGGCCAAGACAGAGCTGCAGAGTCCCCTTCACCAACTGACTCGGAAGAGGCCCAACAAGGATACGAACAGATCCTTAAATTGCTCGGAATTTGGCAAACGGGTCTCCATAACACGATCGGGGCTACCCCTATCGAGGAACAGAAGAAGAATTGTCTATTGGCGGACATCCAGGCAGTTGTCGATAAAACCCACACAAAGCTCGGTCCCGGCGATGGCAGTGCCTACAAAAACATGAACGTAGAGGAACAGCTGAAACTTGTCAGAGGGCTCATGGCAACGTGGACGAAGACAGGGGGCGACGTTCAAAATGCAATGCATGATATCATCAAGAAGTGGAAGAAGAAAGGGTCGGACTTGAGGCAAAAAGTGAAGACGATGACAGAAGAGTTGAAGAAGGAAGAGGCGGACAAAGGCGAGAAACTAAAGAGGAAGACCGAGAGGTTGAAGAAGAGAGAGGCAGACAAGAGGGAGATAATGAAGGGGAAGATTGAGGAGTTCGAGAAGAAAGAAGTATATGATAGGGAGGAAATGGCACGGAAGGTTCAATCCCCGTTCGACCAGTTGCGGCTGTCTTCGGAGGAGGTGCGAGAGGACAATGAGGAGGAGCAGTCTGGTAGGAATGGGAATGGGAATGCTGTTCTGTCTATGATGCAGGCTATTGAAGATGCGGGTTATCGGCTTAAGGACTTTATTTGAGGTGAGAAGTAAACGGGTGAAGGAGCGTAGAGCTGTGTTTTCCGGCGATATGAATCAGGAATCCATTTTTGGTGACGGGAGGCAGTCAAAACCTTTTCGCCTTCTCACTCTCACTTTTAGCACAACGGAGAAAACGCTCAAGTTCAATCCTGTGAGTTAGGTACCTCTATGTAAAAGTAGAGTATCTCAGGCGGTCCTTGTGATAATGGTTTCTTATACTTGCGGGTAGTTGGTCGACTGTCGAGTGAGTGAAGCAGGGATTTCCAGCTTGAAAATCCGTTCTCAGTCCCAACTGACCGGTGGCAGCCGTCTTTCTCTGCAACGAGTATTTTTACACAACGGCACGTTGGCTCAGCATGTACCGAGTGAATGGTATATAGGCTGGTCCAGACTCACCGTTCAAGTGGTTTTCTGTCACTGAATGCACCAGCCTCTTGCATCAGTTTCCTCAACAAGGCATATCCGTGATCTATTCGCAGCCCATCGCTGCCTTCGCAATCTCAATTCACTCTTCGAGAACACCTACATATTCTTTGCCATACACCTGATTCTCAAAATTTCACAGTCGGTCAACATGTCATCTCCAACTGAACCCCAAGACAGAACTGCAAAGTCCCCTTCACCAACCGACTCCGAAAAGGCCCAAGAAAGCTACGATGAGTTCCTCAGAATATTGAGTGAACTTCAAACGGTTCTGCTTAAAGCCATCAAGGAGAGCCAGATCGAGGAACAAAAGAAGATTTTTCTATGCGCGGACATCGACACAATTATCACCAAAGCCAACGGAAAGATTAGTACCGGCACCGCCTTCAAGAGCATGGACGAAAAGAAACGGCAGGAACTTATCAACTGGCTCTTGGCAGCGTATAACCACTCAGCGGAAGCTGCTAATAAGGTATTGGAGGAGACCACCGAGAAGTTGAGGACGGAAGAGGCGCACTTGAAGAAGAAACTGGAGAGGAACACCGAGGAGTGGAAGAGAACACAGGCGGCCGTGAAGGAGAAAAGAAAGCGCACTATCGAATCCCACGCGCCAGTTTCCGGTTTCCGGCGGCTCGTTGGTTCAGTGAAAAATGGATGTTGGTTGGAAATTTCTGGCAAGGACGAAGACAAAGACAGCAGCCGGTGACGAAGTGGGGGCCTGGTGACAGAATGAACTCCAGCCAGCGAAGTAATGCTTTTGGCGACTGTAGGATCCATTAAATCTGGCGGAGTGGGCCCGGGCTCGAGGCCGCTTTCACACGTCGATTGTCGTGATCCAACGGAGGTGTTGGGCTTGGGGCATTTGGAGTTCAGACCATCAGCTTCCCACCACAAGATCGCAAAGAACAGGCGCATGTTTTCTTTGATGTGTTCAACAGACTTAAATGCAACATGAGCGCACTGTTATGCTCTGCTATTCACATAAGTCATTGGGCCATCAACTGACATTCAAGTCCCATCGTTGTACGAACTCACGAACACCGGAACACGGCTTCTTCCACATCGTCACCGAATACGCAAGTCTATAAGTACTATTCATCTATCACGGTATTTACTATCAGGCAACTCCGGAATGTCGAGTTCGCGCGGGAGCAGCCGGGTACCACCAGCGGTACCAGATCCCCCAGAGCCAAGCGATTGCGGCGACTACTGCGTACACGGGTTGTTGGCCCAACAGACGGCCGGTGTTGGTTCTCGTTTTTCGGATAGGGACAAGGACAAAGAAGGCAGGAGCTGGTGAAGAGCAGAAACGGTAGGCGAAGTGCACATCAGAGTGCAGTGGGTGAGTGACGCCGACGTTGTATGTTGTTTTTGGCGAGCATGATTTCGATCACGAGCGATAGCTTTATTACGTTCAAGTCCAATCCTGGTACAGTAGGGACCAACGAAGCGTTGTACCTCGCAGCTTTACGCTACTACGGCGAGGACGGCAACACTCATGGGTAAAGCACCTATTCTCGATCGGATCTTCGGATGTGGGAAGGGATATAAGATTCCAACATGGTACGCTTCCGATTCTTAATTTGAGTAACGCATCATCCAACGCACTGCTCCACTACACTTTACAATACAGCACATCTCCGGTCATTCTCAAAAAGCCAAAGCGGTTATCACAATTCTAGATAATCTTCCTTGATCTCTCACTTCCGTTTATACCGGAAAATGGCAGGCGCCATGATTCCATGGAAGTCAGTGCCATCCGAGACATCAGACGCCAGTGATGGCGAAGAAAACGGCCCAAGCGATCAGAAATCCCCCAAGCATGCCACTAATACTGGACCTCGCACCTCGGAAGCTCAGCATCCCACACAGTATGCCACTTCAGAGAAAGACAAGACCATGATGAAGGACTTCGAGGCGTTCCGAGACCTGCAACTTCAAGTTGACAACCGTGAGAGTCTGCCCTCAGAACACAAGCGCCTGATCCGTCTCGTTATCCAAACACATGTGGACGCGACTTTGAAGGAGAGGGAACTGCGAGATGGCGACGATGACGACGATGAACGAAAAAAACATTGCCTACGTTACCGAAATCATTCTCAGGGACGAAATTGAGAGGTGGATTCGACGAGACATAAAGAAGCTCAGGCGCCTCAAGCGAATGATTGTTCTCGAAGAGACTGCTGCAGTGAAGGTTGAATTGGAGGCTGCAAAGAGGGCTGCTTAGAAAGACATTGTTGAAACAGATACGAGGACAAAAAGACGCGTTTGAGGAGGATGGGGTCATGGACAAATCTGGTGGCTGTCGTGGGAGCAGATTAAGCTGGGTCTATTCTGGACCAGGATTGGGGACGGTGAGGATTGAGGTTTGGTGGTTGACAGAGACGTTTGCATATTAGGCAAGCAGAGGAGGTACTTGGATGGAGCGAGGGCGGCTCAACGTCGATAGAAAATCCCATGTTTCTCTGGTCTGGGTCTCGGACTCTGGGTCCCACAAGGTCATCTTTCCACGGGTACGAGAGGAACGGTTCAGGTAGGCAGGAAAGTGAAAGGTGTTTTTTCTTAGCAAGTTTCCAAAGATCCCTTTGCCTCCATTCTTTTACTCCCATGTAGTCTAGATCTGAACACGGGGTGATCATTTCTGTGCTGTAGACACGATATGGTAACTGTGTGTTAACTCGCTACCTATCTGAATGTCGGCAGACAACCACCAGATCTAGTTACTGACTTGTGGTTTTATTCTCTTCCCCTGTCTTACGTACCGAGCAACCAGTCCGCCTTCTGTATCCATCCTTGGCCTATATGAACGATGCCATTTTCATTGAAAAATTAGGTCCTGAACGAAATTCAATGTTCTAATGTAGTCGTGGTACAAATGCCCTTGTTGCTGTTTCGCTGGGTGACTGTTACTGATGTGTAGGAATACAGTGCATTTTCACTTCCAGTAGCGCCAAGATTGCGATTGATGTCCGGGATCCTGTGCTGTTATTTGCCTATCATCCAGAGGCGAAGGCTGCGCAGCAATGCAAATAAAGCAGCATCTCAACCGATGACCCCACTTTTAACCTCAATAACACCTGGATTTGCGACCAACCCTCAGGTTCACCTCCA